GGCAATTTTATGAAATAAATTTATTCTTTAGTATTTCAAGATATTTTTGTCTAATTTTGGTAAATATATCTGTTAAAATGAAATATCAGTGTTATTTTCATTTTTGTGTAATGTGTGCGTGTGTGTGCAAAATAAAGATTGTATTTAGCAACAAAAAAAAATACAAAAAATAAGTCACCTAGTCTATTTTTGGAGGATAATGCTTTTCAGGCAAGCCATCTTTGTAAATAAAGTGCTCAATATCAAAAGACAGAGCATTAACAACAATAAATATAATTCAATGTTCAACTTAACTTTCTCAAGTCAAAGTTTCACCCAGAACTGTACTTACAAAATTCAAATATTTCTCAGAGTTTGATAATCAATATTTCAACTGCTTTCACCATTTGAAGAGATTTGGGTTTGTTTCCAAACTCAATACATGGGTGGTACATTCTCTGATGGAATAAAACAAACTAGTGTTTCTGCGGTAATTTCTTTGCTGTTACACCATGAGAAGGAGCCATTCTTGGACAGAATTGTCACAGGCAATGAAAAATGGATCAGTTATGTAATGTTCAATGCAAATGAAGCTAGAAACAAATTTGTGAATGTGCAGAATCCATGACTAAAGTGAGCTTGTATAAGAATAAATCACTTAAAGCTTCTTCCAACTAATGAAACAATAACTGCAAAGAAGTATTGCAACCAACTCACCAATCTCAATGTAGCTACTCAAGAAAAACGTCCAGTTTTGGCAAACTGAAATGGCGCCATTTTTCACTGAAAATGCAAGACTGCATGTTGCCAAACAGACATTGCAGAAGCTTAGAGAGTTAGAATGGAGAAACCCTTGAGCACCCACTGTATTCTCCTAATTTGCCTCCTTTGAATTATCATTTACTCCTGTCTCTACAGAACAATTTAAATGACAAAAAATTTGACTGTACAGTCAGTTGAAAACTACCTCAATACCCTTCCAACAAAAAACACAAAGTTTCTACAAAATAAAAACAAGTACAGTACCAAATTGGCAACAAGGTCTCATTATTTTATAGATGAATTGGTTAGAAGTAACTATAATTCTTTGCTAATAGTTTCTTTTCTCACACTTCTTTCCTGTGGAACTATCTTCCAGCTTCTTGTTTTCCAGCCAACATTGATTCTCAAAAATTTAAATGCAATGTCAATCATTATCTATCGTTTTCTTGGTTCCTTTTTTTTTTATTGATATTGCTTCTTAATGTTTTCTTTTTCTTTCACACTCAGTAACCCCCTTGTGTCTTAGTGGCTTTATTTCCTTGTTTGGGGTATAAGTAAAATAATAAATGTAATATTTTAAATGGACAATTTAGATTTGAAATTTGATCAATTTATTGTCAACAACAGCTGATGAACTAAGCGATGTATAATTTTGAATTCTGTAAAATTTTTACAATTCTTAATTTTTATTTTTAACATTTAATCTTCCTCCTAATGATCAGTATATACTGTCATTTAGCTATTTATTTTAATTCCAAACTTACAATTAAGATTCTGAGTAACATTCAAATGAAAATGTATTTATTTACTAAACTTAATTTTACCAGGCGCAAGTTCACAGCAGTTGATTCTATCAGAATCAATCAACTGTAGGTATATGGGTGCATTTCCAAAAATCTAGCTGACCAGAGGCTGGCAACTGATCCCTCTTCTGACCTAGCTTTAACAGCTCAGTGGGAGGAAAACTGTCTGGTCACATTCAATGCCTCACAAACCAAACTAATAACATTCCATCACCATCGAGTGGACATTGAATTTTCACCTATTACAATGAAATGTTCCTTGAGCACCTATTGAGACAAACCTCAAGTGGAACACATACATACATTTCATTGCTAAAGATACTGGAAAAATGGTTGGTTCCACTACTGCTCCTGCTATCCTCTACTTTTGCAAGAGCTAGATCAAATCTAAAATGGAGTACTGCTCCTATATATGGGCAGGAACTGCCCAGTTTCCACTTTCCAGTCTCACTAGAGTTCAAAAGTGTTTCTACGTCTTTGTGGGTGATGAATTATTTCCCACCCTACAATCCCTTTCCCACAGACAAAATGTTACAAGCTTTTCGTTATTCTATCGTTATTTCCACAGAAAGTGTTCCAAAGAACTACATTCCTTCCCCCCATTCTAATCTTCATGACAACAACCATGCAATTTGTAGTGAACACCCCTCTCATTCCTTTTATATTCTATTGTTAAGATCTAAATTCCACTCAAACTGCTATTTTGTGGAACCAACTCCCAAGAAGATGCTTCCCTGATAATTAGTCTTAACCTTTTCCAGTCTAGAGTTAACTGTTATCTTTCCCACATAGCACTATAAACTGTGCTCTTTATTCTATAACCCTCTACCTCGAGTGGCCCTTGGGCCTTGTACAGGATGAACATTGTTGTAAAGAAGTCACAAAAAAATTGGAAATCCTGTGTTCTCTACAAAATGTTTCCAAGATAAATCTTTCCAAAACAGGAACTATGATCTGGAATTGAAATGAAACCAGTGATGGCACCTACCTTGAATCCATCATAAAAATTCAGGTTGTTGAATTAGTAAATACTAAACATTTCAAATAGTTTGACATATAGATTAGATATAAAAAATTTAATATAGGAGATAAGGAAATTCAATATAAAATAAGCTGTGCAAGGAGTAGTTTTGATCAATGCCACAAATTGTTACAAAACCAAAACATTTAACCCAAGAACTTGTGCCATATTCTGAAAGACCTGTCAGATCGAGACTGTCATATGGTGGTACCAAATTCATTTAGAAATATCTAAACTGTCAACTGTATACAGACACTTTCTCAGATTAATGGTTTAGAGCAAATTAAGCCTGTAGGTCTTGGCAAGGACCATTTTTATTCAAACCTTATGGATCACCACTACCGAATCAAAAACAAAGAACTGTACAAGATAATAGAAGCCACATCAGTTGAAGACTTCCAAAAATAGCAATAACTAAAATGGATGGCACATTTAACTGAAAGAGACAGTAATGACAATCAAGATATTGACATTCCATACTACTTCAAACAAAAGGTTAGGAAGTAAGCCCTCATCTATACTGGAAAGAATGATAAAAGTTAGCAGACTTGAGAAACTATTTTAAGCAAAAGATTCTATAAATTTCAACCTCTGCTTGGTCAATGAATGCCGAATCAGAAAATTCAGTAAAATCCAGTACAACTGAAATTCCCTGCCAAGACCCACAAACCTGAGGAAGTCATGGTGAAATGATTAATGTGTTTGCCAAAATTCTACAAAACCACAATGGAATTGGGAAATATTATTTTAGAATCCTATGTAGTAAGACTCATGTAGAAAGCTTACCAAAATGTTTGGTTTTGAGTATTTTAGAAGCATGGGTCACATGCAATGCTAATAGGAAATTGTTCCTTGATTAACGAAGAGGGTCTTTATGTGGGTGCCTAATTAATCAAAGGCCCCATTTGGACAGTTATCCTTGTAAGTGCACAAACACACACACACCACTTTACTCAGTTCACACTGGGAAGCTGGGAGCACACTGTTATCTAGTTTTGACAAAATTCTATCAGCATCAAAGTTGGCAACACACCTGCATTTCAACCATTAGAATGGTTTGGTTTAGTTAAAGGTATATGAATACCTTATGGGTCATTTAATGCCGAAATTTAATTTTTGGAAGAGTTTTGGTTCTTTTTTTCAAAAATGTATTGCTGGTAATTTTTCTCTTCCTTTTCCAATAATGTATTACTGGCATTTTCTTTTTACTATAAAAATGTATTTCTGTTATTCTTACTACAAAAATGTATTTTTATACCAGTTTGGGGGTTAAGTATTTGCCCATAGTTGTCACCCTAACAGGTGCTACCACCCCCACCAACCATTAGATATTTCAATAAGAAAAGAATTTACTGAAGTCAAACCACACAAGTGTCATGGTTACAGCTTTTATATTTTCTCATCCTTAATAAATTGTTGATAGCTTTATCAACAGTTCATTCTTTATGCTATAAATTTACCACCTTTCAGAGTGGTCACCCAAATTAAGGAAGTCTTTAGGATCAAGACATCATCTGGACCACAAACAAAAACCTATAGCCTGTTGCAGTGAATAAAAAGACATACCACATAATTCATCCCAACAGGTATATAACAAAAAGAAAGATTTCTGCTAGACAACACATATCTGGTGAGGAAGAAGAACAAAGAAAATAGCTACACAATATTCACACATCCTTCACCAACCTGTAATATCAAAAAATTGTGATTACTGGCTAAAGCTTACATTAAGCACATGGTGACCAGAATTGCTGATTATATCCTGTTGCTCTTGTGATGACAGAAAAAGAGACTATTACATTTGTATTGACCCCACTATGCTTTGTATATAAGCCCATATTAATAATGACAGATATGTTTTTATTAATTACAGCAGGACTTAGCCAAAAGATAATTTGATCCTATCTTGATCAAGAGTAACTTCCTAATCTTGTATTACTAAGCATTGAAAAAGATGTATTAATGACTTAAATTTTGGAAATTTAATTTATGAATTTGCCACAGCAAAGGCAAGATAAAATCATCTATAGTACTTAATAAAGCCATGAATACCAGTTTAGTACAGAGCCACAGATTAACAATTCCAAGAGAATTTCAGAACTGTGAACACAAAATATAGTATAAATATTTTTTACAAGTAATGTAAAATATTTATTGATTGATTCATTTTTTTATGGCTTATCCATTTGCAAGTTTTTTAAAACCACAAAATATTTTAGATTGTAAGAATATTTTTTTGGTGGTCAAGATCATAATGGTTTAGTGATACAAGTCTTACTAATTAACCCATAGCTTGGGGGAAGAAGAGGTGGATTCATATCTTTCCCCAAGGGCATTTACACGTAAGTGAATATAATGAACCCAACAGGAATTGAACACAGCTCTCCAAGTAACAATTGTGAGCGATTATCCACTACACCATCCACACATCCAAGCTTACAGTACCTGGTATTCCCAAGCAGTCACTCATCTAGGTACTGACCAGACTCAACAATGCTTAATTTCAGTGATCATACAGGGACCAGTGTTTTAACATGATGTAGCCATAAACCATATTTAAAAGGTGAACATAAAATAATAAAAAATAATACAATAAACTAAGTTTGTTTATTGCACTTTCTCTTGACAAGCAAATATAAAACTAATTTGAATGATTAATAAAAAGGTGAAGATAAAAAAATATAATCGATCATGTTTGTTTATTATCCTTGCTTTTGAGAGAAATGTTTATTGCTTGATTATTTTTTTACAGCTTATTAACCTGTTGCAGGTTCAATGAATGTTTAAAATAATTAAGCTAAATGGTTAGTAAAAAATGAACTAATAAATTAGATGTGAAACATTAGTTTTTTAAACTTTCTAAAAATAGAAAAGCTCAAAAAGAACACACTGAAAATAAACCAGTTAAAAGGCAGGCAGTTTAAGATTTAACTTTCAAATTTCAAAGAGAAATACATTTTCAAGTTTTTTGACCAATAGATGAGGGTGACTTTCTACCTAATTTTAAATTTGAGATTCGTCTGGAGCCTATTGGAGGCCTATATAAGAAGTCAAGTTGGGCAGAAAATTTCAGAAGGTTAAAAAAAACAAACAAAAAAACAAAAGCGTAGAAGGATTGACAAGGGCACAAGCTAAAGAAGGTTTTTCAGACGGACAAGGATTTTTGGCTGTCACCAGTGGATGAACTAGATCAGTAGTTCCCAATTTTTTTTTTTTTTCCTCTGGGACATATTTTCAGAATAAAAATTTGCTCACACCAAACCAAATTTAATGTGATAAAAAGTACATTTAAAGATAAAAAAAACAAAGAAGATTAAAAGGAGATAACCACCGATTCAAAGTCAGAACATTATAATTGATAACTCTCTCCTCCAATTTGCAGACCCTAGTTACTATATTCTTCATACTTGATATAATGCAAAAATATCACAATGATAAAATCAGTCAATTTTTTTTATAACTATTTATCATCATCATCATCTTGCGGCCTCAGCCGAGATTGAACTCACTACACCTTTCCAGTATTCCTTATCTGTCATAGCTAATACTTTGATTGGTGTAGTTCGTAATCTTGTCAAATAGCTGAATTCTTGATGCTTCACTAGGGCTATCAAGGGTGTTTTTATCATGACACCATCACTAAATGGATTGCCAATCAAGGCTCAGAGAGACTCCATTCACCCTCTGCAGGTTTTGAATTCAGAGTTTTCCTTCTCCTAGACCAGTTGCCATCCAAGGCTATAGAACCCAGTATGTCCTGGGACTCAAGCATGCAATTCCAAGTAATTCATAATAATTTTTTAAATTTTGAAATCATATTTATTTTTAGCATATGAATTTTTTCAAAACTGTTTCTAAATCTTTGATTGTCTTTCAATTATTCTGCTTCACCTGCTATCCTCTTCTGCCACGCCTATGAAACACGTCACACCCTTTGGAAACCATTGAACTAGGCAGTTTCTTATATAAGTAAAAAGCAAAGAAAAAACGGAAAAAGATTTAGAAACTAAAAGAAACAAGAATAATGAAAAAATTCTTAAATTAATAATTAAATAATAATTAATAATTGAACTGTTTTAAAAAAAAAAATTTTTTTCTAAAAGTTCCAGTGATTGATGAATCTGCCAAAACCTTCTCAAATTTGACTTTCAAATAAGTGTATTTTTTTTTAAAGAACATGTAGTTTGAACCTTTCTTTAAAAAGGAATTGTATTGTACATTCAAGCTTTTACTTCAATTGTTTAAAGTTTTGTTAAAAAAATTATATCTGCTTTCATGAGCCAGGGGCAATTAATCCTGCTTCAATAATAATAAGTTGGACAAAAGGAAAATTTTGTGTAAACTTAATGTAAATTGTTGTAACCTAGAAAAGGTTACTGAATAAGAATAACCAAAACGAAGGTTGGAAATGGAATGGTAATCTTTATAACGTCAACAACATACAAGATTCCCCAGCGGCATATAGTAAGTAATCCACTGCTAGGTGAACTTGTGGTGTATCTCCCAGACAGTATATTCTATTGTATTTATGAGGATTGGGACATACACATTATAGTCCATAGGTACGGTATAACATATACCTTATTCTGCTCTATCATTTTTAATGTAAAGGTTTATTTCAAATTTCACATAGGAGTTTTGAATCTTGTTTGTTTTCATATGCACTTTAAACTATTTTCAGGACAACAAAGGTGATGTCCTATCTTCTCCCATTAAATCCCCTGCAAAAAATTCTTTTAATAGCAGTGATTCACTCTAGATGTTACATTGAAAAGCAGATGACATGAATTTCAAAATAATTTGCAATTTACCTCAGTCTACTTGATATATAGGTCTAATTCAATTAGTTCAAGATTTGCTTTTATGATATTGGGACTATTTTTAGACTGGGTAAAATGATAACTGATTCTTTGTTATTGAAATTGTGAGAGTAATAAGTCACAAATTATATAGTAAAACATTTCAGGGGTAATTTAGGTAGGCGGGCATCAAAACAGTATTTGCCCCTAGGCACGGAGAACCCTGGCTACACTACTGAACAGCTGTAAAATTAAAAATTTACCTCAAGAAAGGTAATAAAGCCACTAAGACAAGGGGTTACTGAGTGAGAGAACAATAAAAAAAGAACAGGAATTGTTTGATTCATTCATTCATTCATTTTCTACACCATATCAACCCTTTGCAGGTTATTTAAGGCCAGAAAATATTTTTAGATTGTAAGAATTTTTTTTGAGATAATAATAATTTAGTGGAGAAGAATTACTAATTAACTCATAGTTGGGGGAAGGATTCATACTTTTCCCAAGAGTATTTGCATATAAGTGAATATAACGAATCCAACTGGAATTGGAACTCAGCTCTCCGATTTACAATTTCAAACCATTATCAATTATACCACCTGCACATTCAAGTTTACAGTGCCTGCCATTCCCAAGTGGTCACCCATCAAGGTCCTGACTAGGCTTAATGATTGATATTGCATTTAAATTTTTGAAGAACAAAGTTGGAAAGGAAGAAGTGAGAAGCACATGAAAAGAAACTGTTAGCATAGAACATATGTTTACATCTAGCCATTTCAACTTTAAAATGATGAGACCAAGCTGCCAATCTAGTCCTGCACTTAAATTCATCAAGTCTATTTCAGCACACCTGCTATGGTGGTAGAATGAAGCATATCTCTATCAAATATCATTTTCTCTTTTTTTTTTTTTTTTTTTAACCTGCCCCAGGCATTTGCAAGTTGACTTGTAGGGACATTATTATAAATAAAAATAAAATATTAAATAATAATAATGAAAATTATAAATAAAATAAAAAGATAATATTCAAACTTTTTTAAAAAATAAAAATAATAAAACTGTCCCTGCATTCAACAAAAAATGTTGCTGTCAGAAATATGGACATCCTGCCAAAAGATGTTAAATTCAATTTCTTCACCAGAAACCCTCAAACAGGCAACATGTGTACAACTTCTTGTAATATGGCATGTAATAATACAAGTGATTTCTCCCTTTTTTCATATATACCATAAAGACAATTGTAACCTAAAAAATATACACACCAATAGACACAAGAAAAATGTAATTAAATTGGATGAAATTAACATCCAATTTACCATGCTTTTCCTGTTATTTCTGTACACTTCATTTCATTTCCTGCCAAGTAAGTTTATATCTCCATGAGCACAAGGCTAATTTCTACTGCTGTGATATTATTACCCTAACCAAAAACAACCTATTCACCCAGAGACTACAACAGTATTAAGGAGATTTACATATAAGTCAATTCCTCCCTTTGTTTTTAGTTCCAATGAGTAACTACTTTTAACAGTCAGGGATTGTTAGCAGACGAGGTCATTGTCATAGTGAAAAATAAATAAGAAAATAATTCTGCACAGGCCTGGTGCCAGAGTGTTTTTTGTGGGGATGAGAGGACAGTCAGTGAGGAGCCACAAGAATTTGCTTACTAAATTAATTCATATTTTCATAAATGATTTTCAGTGGAGAGATGGATCTGATTCTGTAACAAGTGGTCGATCCCAGAAAAAAAAAAAAACAAATATTTAAAAATTCTAGTTTTTTTTAAAGAGAAAAAATCCTCCCACATGGAAGATTGGTCCAACACAATCTTCCCAGTTACTGTAAAAAATAAAAATAAAAAATCGCATACTTATTCAAGATTAGAAATTTCACAAAAGCTGTGCGTTAGTTTATTTGTTTGTTATGGTTTGAGAAAGTGTACTTAGTTGTGGGGAGAAGGGTTTCTAACTCTTGTGACAAGAAGAGTCTTCTTGTCTTATCAAAGTTAAAATAAAGAAAAATAGTCATTTTTAATTTATTTCCCGTAGATACACAATATAATTTTTAAAATGACAGTGCTATTTTTTTTTTTAAATTATCTTCAATAAGGAAAGTCAAAGGACAAGACAAAGTTAACTAAATGACGGTTGTCTTGGTAGTGGGTATGAGTCAGATTTACTTGGGTAACCCACTAAAAATCTTTTTAGCCGAGCAACGGTTAAGGAAGTGCTGCTTTTAGGAAGTGAAACTAAAAACGTCTTTCTTTAAACTACTGGATTTCATTTCATAAGAGTTTATGACTAAATCGTACAACAAAATTTATATAAAAAGTTGTTGTTTTGTTTTTGTTTTTTTTTAAGGGTTACATTACAATGAATCTAGAGAGAATTTATTGGCATTTAAAGAAGAAAGATCGTTTTGGAAATAATTCGGCCGGGAGAGTCAAAAAACCTTTATTTAATTTTAATAGGATTTTCTTAAAAAATAATTATGGATAAAAAAAACATTTTTTTGTAATGTATTTCGTTCCGAGAAGAAATTTCTTCAAACTCAATAAGGAATACGTCAATCAATATGAATTTTGGGTGCTATTACACTTTCGCACCCGGCCAAAAATAAATTACAACAACACCAGATAGATTTAAAAAATGAAAAGAAACTTATTTTTAAAAGTTTCTTTTTTTTTTTTTTTTTTTAATTAACTTCATAAAATTAATTTAAAATAACAACTGTTGAACTGTTGCAATTTATTAATAATTAGATTTAATTTACGAACACTAGCAACGGTTTTAAAAAGCTGTCAATCAAATCATTTGATTCAAATGTGTTTCTGCTGTCAAAAGTTTCTAAAAAGAAAGTCAGAAAGATAATGAAATGTATTATTTAAAATTAAATCCACAAATTATAAACAATTATTAAGAAAAAAGGGAAATCTATTCGTTTTTTTTAACTAAAAAAGAACTGAAGACAAAAAAATACATCAGGTTGTTGACAGTCATGGGGGTGAGAAAGTCAATAGCGCCGAATTTTGTTTATTTTTTGCCATTTGTCATTCACTTACCAACTAGTTTGATTTTTAAAAATATATCAAGATTTTTCGCACATTATATTAAAATATAAATAATAATAATAATGCTAGGTAACTTAAAATAAAAATGCATTTATTAAACTTTTTAAACAGTGCATTTCTTTTTTGTAATTTTTTATGTCAGAAATCTCTCCGAAACCAGTTATTTTTTAATTTACTTAAAAAAAAAAATGATACAAGCAGCAATATAAACAAAAAGTTATCTATGCAAAATTTGTCTCTTTAAAACTAAGGAACTAAGACATGATACAAACAAATTCAAAAGTGAATGGCAAATTGGGGGGGGGTCTCTTAAAGAAATCTGAATTCTGAAGAAGTCCTTTCGAAGGACGTATCGTGTAAGAACCGTTTACTTTTTATATACGATTCACAGGTGTGTTTTTTTTCCTATTTTTGCTATTTTAGGAACTGTATGTAAATAAACAACAATGACAAATTATACATGGTACTTATAAAATACATTTTCTTAAGTTTTTAGACAATTAAAAAAAAAAACCCAACGAAACAACCTTAACAAAAAAAGAAAATAATAATTTTTTAAAGTTACATAAGCTTTTTTTTTAACTTTAACTTTTATGATCTTCTTACTTTTTCTTACCTTGTCTTCTGTTGTCCATAATTATGGCATCACTTCTTCATTGTTAATTATTGACTAGTGTAGGTATCGTGTTTAGATCGAACTCTGAAAATAATTTCCTAATCATTGCTTGTCAAGACGAACTTGTTGATGTTGTAGTAGTAGTAGAGAATTTTTGTCTATTGAGAAAACAATTTAAAAAGAAAACAGTTATTTACGATTTACATTAATTATTTGAAAATGTATTAAGTTTGTTTTGTGAATATGTGTGTTTAAAGTTAGATTCTAGAAGTATTTACTTCCGCATAAATATGACGATGTAAAAAAAAACCCAGTTTTTAAGTTATTGTAGATGTAGTCAGTAGTGTAACCCAGAATTAATAAGAGGTCAAACAAGGTTCTTCTAGTGATTTTTTGCTGTTTGGGTTTTTTCAACGTTTTACTTTTGTCTTATTTTATTTATTTTTTTAAAAAAGATGGGGTGCGGGGCTTTTATCCAAAGATACACTAATTTTCATATTTAAAATGTTCAAAATAAGAAGAAAAACATCAGTTTTATTAACCAAACCAAAATGCACTGTTTGCTCCCTTTTTTTTTTTAATTTGATCAGACTTCACTTTTAGTTTTAGTTTTAATTTAGATTAAATTAAATTTAAAAAAAACTCTAAGATTTAAAATTAAAACTTTTCATAAGAATTTTTATTTTTTTTTTTTTTTTTTTAATATACAATTCATTGATTCATTGTACTTTGCACTACTGGAGTTCATAAACTGATGGAAGGATAATTTATGTGGCACAAGGCTACGAGTGTAGGGCACTCAATTAGGATCGAACTCAGTTGTAATTGATCTAGCGAGACAAGCTTGCTAACTATATTACAGTAATTTACACCACATCGAAGCGACCAAGCGTAATTTAGATGTGGCATAAAAGCCGAAAGTATGGAGGACCCGCTGAGGATCGAACTCACTATTCATTCAGTGAATTCAGTCCTAACTGATCTCCAGAGAGACATGTTTGTTAATCACTTCACCACATCGAAAGGCCCTGAAATTGGTGGAATGATATCAATGGCAAAAATAATAATTATTATTATTAATTAAATTAAAATAATTAAATCTGAAGCATTAGGAAAAAAATAACCAATGAGATATTTAGGAGGAAGGAGTGGAATTTTACACCAGTCAAAAAAAAAAAAAAACATTTCCTTGCCGTCTCTGTAGGAAGTCAAATAAATTATTAAAATTAAATTCAACTCAAACTGTGTTGCTGCAAAAACTAAAACATTACTGATTTCTTACATCAATAAAATTAAAAATGCATCAAGGGTCTCCAGTTACTGTTATCATTTTTCTTTACTTTCGGCGTTTTTTCGTTTTTTGTTTTTTTTTTTGTTTTTTCGGAGCTGAAAAAAAGCAATTTTAAATGAACAATAAAATAATTTTTTTGTTGATTTTACATTTTTTTATATTAAACTATTTCAAACCTTTCAATTCCTTTGATATATTTTCTTTTCCGTCTTGAAGTAGATGGTTTCGAAGCCAGTCCATTTTGTATGTCAATCAATTCTTTTTAAAGAAAAAGAAAATGGATGCTGACTTGATTCCCTGAAATTATGAGAATTTCCATTGTTTTCCAGGGAAAAAATAAAGATGGGATTGACCGAAGCCTCGATTTCGTGGAAAATAAGTGATGTTTTCTATCCGGGACAAACAGCAGATGCCCAAATCTTGGAAAGTTTTGATCAACTTTTTAACTACACAATCTGTTAGTTTAGGTGAGTTTTAACCTCCATCTTATTTTTATGTGTTTCTACGATAAAGACAAAAAAATTATATTAATTTACAAAATTTTTAAAGTTTTTAATTTCTTTGCAAAATAACTTATTTTATGAGAAAGCTGCTTGTACATATGACTGATTTTTAGCCGCTCTAAAACCTGTCCTCTCATGAAGGTAAAAAAATCTGACAGTATCAATCGGAATTTTTGAAATCAAAGAATTCTAAACTTTTAACTGTCCATAGAATAAGCAGATATCAATGTTTAAGTTAAAAATAATTTATAATTTATAAAAATGTGGATAATAAAAAAAGAAATGTAAAATTATATAAAAACTAGCTTAAAAACCGCCCCATCGGGCGGCATTTAAGCTATCTCCTGTGAAGAGCTCTTGATTGGGCCTTCATCACAATAGGTAGGGAGGAGAACATGCAATAATAGGCAATAATAAACTACATAAGAACTCAAAATTGATCGTTGCATTTAAGTATTGCATTATTTAAGCTTACCTTTTTTTAAAAGTTCAACAATATTTCTTCTGTCGCCACATAATTTAAAGACAATCTGATGTAGGTAGGTCCTTACTTTCCGTACAAACAATAATATTATTTCACGGGTGACTTTCACTGGATTTCAAAATTAATTTCGTTTATTCCCAAATTTATTTCCAAGTTATAAAAATTGCTATCGTACAAAACAAATTCGTCGGAAAAAATCACCGAAAGCAACTGCAGTAATGAAAATTTCGGAATCCAAAATTTCAGGATTGTGAGTTCAGATCCAGCCCGGAATGTTTTTAATTTGCTCACGGAGTCGATTTGATTCCAAAATTGTATGGTATGTTGTCGCTACGACGAAAGTAAGTTTTGTTTCTACTCTCTTTGTTCACTAGCATATCATTTTGGAATCAGGCCGACTCCGTCAGCAAATGGTATGATAAAAACGGCTCGTCAGTGACTGCAGCGACACAGTGAAAGCCAGTCAGCGAACAAGGCCCAGTCTCAACACACGTTACCATGACAAAGCATCACTCAGCGATGATTTTTCTACATACAAAGTCGCGACGAAAATTAGTCCTACATCTCTTCTGTTCACTGTGTTTAAAATTACTGATATTGAACGGAATCAGTCAGATACATGTTTCATTAGCGTGTACTTCGCACAAACCATACCACTTGATTTTCTTACTTGCAACAAAAACACTTCGAAACTTTGTAGACTCACTTTCAACAAATCATTTTGAACAATCGAATTATTGGTTTCTTCATGGACACAACAAAGAACATTGATTTTTAATATGTAAATATATGTATCTGACTGTATAAATACATGTATCTGGCTGTATAAATACATGTATGACTGTATAAATACATATATCTGGCTGTATAAATACATGTATCTGGCTGTATAAATGTTACTGTTATATTTAGCTTGGTCGTCTTCCTTTTCTGTGAAGATCATTTCTTCGCGTTGTAAAAAAAAAAATGCGTTGTATTTGTGGACACGACACTCGGATTTTATTTTTCCTCCTAAAAGTACCCACACGTGTATGAAATCACATGACTTGTAATTGTATTATAACCTTGAACTGATCTTCACGTCTATAAACATTTAGCACCTTGGCCAGTATCTTCTGCACAATTTGTTTTAGCACAGTTTAATACTATGCTTATTTTTAAAAATATATTTAATAAATTATATATACAACATTTATTTCTATGAAATTGTAGAGATACAAAGGGTGATTATCTGCCTTTAGATACGAGGGTCATGTGACGGCCTGTGGGTGACATCAGTCCGAAGTCATGGTAACAATTTGAGGCGGAAAAATTAACGTAAAAATTCATCAGTAATCAAGTAATACACGATTTAAAAAAACAAATAAACAACTTGGGATTTTGACCAAATCTTGGGCTACTTAATTTTTTTCCGCGAGAATTCACAAATTGCTTAAATGGTTGATTAATTTTTGTTTTTAATACTTGAGTTTGTGTTACCATTTAATTCTTTGGCACAAACAGAAGTACTCACTTGGACATCTATAGCTAACATGACAAAAACAAACCGGCTAAACAAACCTACTCACCTCCTAAATACCACTCAAGATCATAAAGCATATTTTCTGACCAATCAGAAGAAAGGACCATGCAGTTTCCGCAGCAGCCGTTTCTGTGCCAATGCTGATTATACCTACGAAGACAGATTCGACCAGGCTGCTATTAGGTTCGCCAGAAATACCGAAGAATCTCCAGCAGACTCAATTCCCATTGGGAATTATTACACATAAAACTCATTTTCTTCCTTTTCAATTTGCTTGTGGTGAAAATATGTGTTATATATATATATATATATATATATATATATTACGTGGAACACATGTAAATATGTATATATAATTTTGTGTATGAATTAGCGGTATAAAACTCTCGCTGAGAACAAAACATGTTTGTCATTCCTTTTATTTCAGCTATTCCGTCCCGTACGTGAAATGTGGTGTAATTATATAATGGCTATAAAGATACCAATAATGGGGGAAATGAAAATAGTAGTATAAACCTTTTTTCTATCGCTCACCCATTATCTGGTGGTGTTCAGAATTTAATTTGAGGACCACTACTACAAAGTTCACGTTCTAAACTCTTTTCTGACCTTCGCCTCGACATACGCCCTTCCTTCCAAAACCTGCTCCCAAAGCCTTGATTCTTATTAGAGATAAGAATATGTTTTCTGACGAACGAGAGAGCTGGGAAATATAAAAAAGGAATTTGACCACCCCTGCTTTAACCATGGTGCCGTAGTCTTAACGCTCACAAATTGTCGAACCTTTGCTTCCAAAACCAGCTCCCAAACCTTTGATTTGAGAGATAAGAATATATTTTCTGACGAATAAGAGGGCCAAAAAAGTGTATAGCAATTTTGGAGGGAAAAGTTCCCGATTTTTCTGAGCGTTCTAATTTTGATAAATACCGAGAATATGCGCCTGAGTATTTGACAGTCTGTGAGAGCATCAGGTCGGCATAAGTAACACCAGTCATCTTTGGAACCTGTTTCAATGAAGAAATCTACATGCTGGGCTGTAAAGCCCTCTGCGAAAACTACGCGAGATCTGCTTCATAGTAGCTTAAAATTCCTGTCGTCAGCCTACAAACTCACTCAAATACAAATAGTTTCTCTCATATTTTGTATATATCTCTTTACTTTTTTTTCTGTATATAAATATACATTTTCTTCTATTGTTACACCTGAGCAGGAATTTGAGTCTTTATTTTTCCGCCTAAAAGAGAGAAATGTCCGCTCAAAACTTTCAAGCCGCTGTTGCTTTTATCGATTTTGTCACCTTTAACCTTAACCTTTTCATGTGGGGAAAGCCGGGACAAATTTCCCACAGCGTACCTGACGTGACAATATATTGTAGAGAACCGTGTCGGTTTTGTGAGTTGTTAAATTAGAAACACGTGCTGTTTATTCCTGCTAGAAGGTCCAACTACAAGAACAATGCGGACTCAAGTTGAGTCCAACCGAAGATGTAAAGCAAACAAACAAGACTGATATATATATATATATGTCAACAAATGTATTAAACAACAAATTTACAAGTGACAAGGACATTAACATTTGTGTTTGTGAGTGAACATAAAGAGCTTGTATTTTGGTGAATGTTCGTACGTACGTGGATGTGTGTTCCATGGCGTGTCCCATAAGTGGGCGAAAACGTTGATCTCTACGAGAGATCAAATTTTTAAATGTGTCCACTGAAATGCAAAGTAGAAAAGTGATATTTATTCTGTACAATACAGAAATGTGGCACAAGGCCGAAAAGGGGATTGGGGAAAGGACGGTCTTCTTCTGTCTTAACTATAACTTAGCTAGCCGCAAACACTGACCCAATCTTACGAAACAATATTCCTTACACCAAAACAACACATTCATTCGTACCTTTCTTACTACAATCACCATAATACCTCTATGAAAATACTAACTAGTCCCCATATTTACAATTCGTTGTCTGTGGAGGGAAGGGAATAAAACAACAATTCTAAAAGTTAACCCCAATGAAAGTAGAAAAGTGAACGAGGCAATAAATTTCCCAGTATTTATAATGTAGGGAGAGCGACCCCTAGTGAACAATTAGGGAATTAAGGAGGAGCTAACTCCGACAATGTCATTAATCCCCATGACCGTTATTGTTGATCTTAGTAGTTAATTTATTGCTTTCGACGGGTTTCCTTTTACTGTCAAAAAAAGTTTTTTTTTAAAAAAAAGGGAACTGTTGAAACTAGTTAAGTCTTGAATATGGGTCAGAGGTATTTATACGCACGCTCACGTTGTAACAAAATGTGACACAAGGCCGAGTTAAATGCGGGATTTCAGAAGCTAATTAAAAAAAATGCTCAAACACCCTATTGGGGACACCTGAAACACCGGTTAATGATTCTAGTCGTCTACTGAAGGAAAGGTACTGCCTGGAGAGATGATCTTCTTGGGTTTGGGGGGGGGTAATTGCCCTCACTAATTTATATTAAGTCACGGGATAGGCTCCAGAATATGTTTTAAAATTTTTGCGCAACTGTACCTTTGATCAGGTCAAATTAAGGTCAGAGGTGCGAATATAGCCGACGATATAGCATGTGATATTTTTGAACCAATCAAATTAGGTTAGCGGTGTAATTTAATTTGGAGCCTATGTTTTGTTTAATTTTTGAAGTTTTGAGAACAATATAGGATCTGGATCCTATAGACTTGAGCCACTATTAATTTCAAACTTTCCAGCTGGACCAGGAAAGTGAAAGAATTTTTGTTATTCGTCAAGAACGTAAAGAATTTCTTTTATTAATGTCGAGTGTCGACCATAGTAAGTGGTTAATGGTCAGCTTAAAGTAGACTTGGTTAATTAGATTGATCACAAGGATAATATACTTGAAGAAAATTTCGTATCACGTGATGGATCCATGACATATGTTATCACACAAAGAATCGAAAATAGTTGGCGGCATTTAAAAAGATTTTTAAGAAAGAAAGGAATATTCATCTCCAACCCCATCAATGGGAATACTTTTTTGTCTTTAGTTTGTGAGTATATTAAAAAAAAAACAAATTATGTGATAATTTGATCGCAAATATAAACGAAAAGTGTACACATTTGAAATTTAGAATTTTGCGCAGGTTGACCATCGATTTCTCGAGGCTGTCCTTTCGACAGCTGGTTTCGGGCGGTACTTTCGCACCTGGATCCGACTTCTGTATGCGACTCCCAGTGCGCTGGTGGGAGTGAATGGGGTACGATCGGAGCCTTTCGTATTGTCTCGCTCCATTCGTCAAGGTTGTTCGCTTTCGCTTTACGTTCTTGCGTTGGAACCTTTTCTTCGCAAGTTAAAGACGAATCCGGTCCTACGCGGAATTTCCCTACCTGGTGCTACCACCTCTGGCAGGTATTTTGCCTATGATGATGACATTTCGGTTCTTGTGTCGAGTAGGGCCGATATTGACGAAGTCAGCAAAGAAATCAGTGGTTATGAGATGGTGACAAGAATAACGGCAATAAGTCTGCTGACTTGCGGTTGGGTGCGTGGAAGGAAGTTTGTCTTCCCGGACCTTTCTTCTGAAAGGATGGCCAGTCAAGATTCTCGGCGTCTAGTTCGGTCCTAATATCCAGTTGGAAATGAATTGGTCGGAGGTGCAAGGGAAGGTCGAGATCGCAGTTAATCCGTGGTCTCGGTGGAATCTTTCCTTAAAGGGGAGGGCGGAAGTGTGTTTCACACATCTACCCGATACTCCTTTATCAACTGTCTGTGCTTCCACTTCCGTATGACATACTAATGGCGTTAATAAGGCTCTTGTTCTCCTTGTGGGGAGGCAAGGCCGCCAAAGTCTCTCGGGAGATCTGTTGCGGTCTAGGTATGCCTAGCATTGAGATTCGTCAGTATATCTTTGCACGGCGGGCTTGGAGAAATATCCAAACTACCGACGCTGTGGTGAGGAAGTCGAGACCCCGTGTCACTTTCTTTCATTGCAGGATTGTAACGCCGTTGTGCAAGTTTGTTGAAGGTCTCATGGTTCGTATGCTGCACGGAAGGTTCTTTGTCCTTGAGGCCGCTTCTGTTTGTAGCAATATGGCACCGCCGTTGACAAAGGCTGAACATTATGTGTTCTTATGCTTGCTAAGTGTTATGAGAGTCGTGATTTGGACGACACGTCAGAAGGGATTCTATGAAGGTGAGAGGTTCACTTCTTCCCAATTGATCTTGTACTTTAAGCATCAGCTTAAAGTCAAGATTAGTTACGGAAAGGCGGCGGCTCACTTCATCAGAATTCAGGAAAAGGTGGATGAATCGTGCACGTTTGTGTCGTGTGAAAAGGGCTGACCTGGAGTGGCGCTTTGATGCAGGTTAGGCATCAGGATATTACTTTTCCTAGTTTGAACTAGGGCAACCCATCCCAAAATTAGGATAGCTTAGGTTTAGTTTTTTGAATCTTTAGTTTTCTTTTTCAATTAACTTGTGGGGGACTTCACCGCATTAATTTAACTTTGATAAGAAAACAGGACTCACGCAAGAAGAATAACGGCAAGACATTGTTGCACATAAAATATATGTATATTAACGAGATGTACAATATCAAACAACGATGTGAAAGAAAACATGCATTTAAGTAAGAAATGTTGAATTAATCTCTTGCCTCTCTTTGACTGCAATTTAAGAGTTCAATGAGAGATAATTATTTGGTTTAAAGTTCACTGGATAAATGTTCATGAGTGTTTCATGATATGATTGTTCTTGTGATATTACTGTTGAAAAATATTGTTGTGTCAAAAGAAGTTTTTAGTGAAGGTGTACAAATTATCATCAGCGTGTGAGTGAGAGTGAGAAGGTTGGCGCGTGGTTAGAACTGGAGTTCCAACTGTCGTAGATTCGTTTAACAGTTGAGGTCTCACGATATTGAGATGAGAAAACTCTTGGCTTAAATAAGCGACTGTAGGCTCCGATTCGTTGCGCGGGGAAATTATTCTTCAGGTGCAAACGATCTGATTGGTTGCCATCAATCAATCAGCGAGCGATCTTTGGGGAGACTTAAGGAAGCTTCTGTGAGCCATTTCTCCCAAAAGCGCACAAATTTGACTACTTAAAAAATAAAGCGACTCCAAAATTGTCGCATTACTGCGATTTGTAAATTGCCTGTAGAAAATGTATTAGTGATTTATTAGCCAATGATCGTTTGGCATTGTACATGTGCTTTTGTGTTTGTATGTATATGTTCGTGCGTAAGTAGGTTCGCACAAACTTAGCTAGGATATATATGCTAATTGGCCCCTTTTATTTCTGTCCCTATTTTTTCTTTAAGCTTAATTTCCCATCCCCTCCCTCGTTAGGTGGTCAGTGATGTCAGTTCTTTGGTGAATGCGGGGAGACTTTCGTTTCGTGTGTGAATTTTTCCATATTTGTTGTTGTGTCTGAATGAGTGCATGTCTGTATGAGTGCTTGGGATGAATTAATGTTTTATTTTATTATAGTTCCGCATTGATTTCGTCCAGCTAATTGAGGTTTCTGCCACGTTTAGTGATTGTGGGGTTTTTTTTTTATTACTAAAACGTCATTTTGTTTACTTTCTTGTAAATATTTTATTTCATATTGTAAATACTCATTGGGGTTTGTTTTTAAAAGTTGTTGTTTTATCACCTCCCCCCCCACACACACATACACACAGACGATGAAATTGTACAAATGGGGACTAGTTAGTATTTTCATGGAGACATTGAAGTATTATGGTGGATGTGGTAAGAAAGGTACGCACGAATGTGTTGTTTTGGTGCAAGGAATATTGTTTGATATGTTTGTGGCTAGCAGAAGAAGACCGTCCTTTTCCTCTCTTCCCCATTTCGGCCTTGTGCTACATTTTCTGGATTTTTCAGAAATAAATTATTTATTTCTAGAATTTTGCGCAGGCACGTCTGGCCCCTATTCTAGACTCTTACCTTGAAAAACTGAACGAAAGCTTTATTTGTTATTGAATTGTAACAAATTACCTTTTATTTTCACTTAACTAACGAGCCACAACATAAACAACTTTTATTACATGAATAAACTTCCATATATTTGCAAGTGGCTAATTGGTTAATCGTTTGATGTTGTTTATTTGTACCTAATGGCGGTGTAGTTTAAAACTCAATACAATTGAATAAATACACGATTTGAGAAGTATTAGTTTTAAATTTCCATCCTACGCAAGACTCAGAATTGGATTATTAATATTCGATTAGAGCAACTTAGAGGTTAGTATAATTGCTCATTGTTAAATTTATATTATAAAATATTCTCTCTTACAAAAACAACTTTTTGACTTTTTAAAAAAGTTTTTGTGTCTGCGTATTTTAAAGATTGCTCAATCATGACAAATTCATGTGCTTTATTATTTTCTTGCTTAAAAAAAAAACTAAGTTTATGGTTTTCAGTTTCACAAATCAAAAGTAAGAAAATTTAGAAATAAACGTCGTCATTTTTTTTATTGACAGATTTTTACAACTTAATTTTTTTACCCTTTAAAAAAGCAAGTTGCATAAATTTACATTCGTTTCATCATTGTTTAAATAATTTTAAAAAATCTAAAATTGAATTTCAATGTTTTGATCAGTTGCAATGAAGAAAATGTTCTCATTTTAAAACTATTTTTGTTTTTAAATTTAATTTGTCTGGTTTTTCATTGGCTTTTTTTTTGCCTTTTAGTTTTTTTTTTAACTTTAAAATCTTAATTTTAAAACTTGATTTTAAGAAGTTAAATTTACATTTATTTACTATATTGAAATGGTAACACTCACAAACCCAATTTTCTCTTTAGTCTTTTTCTTTTTCATAACGTTTTGGTTTTTATTTTCAATTTCAGAGAATATTTTTTTTAAATATTTAGCTTAGTTTTTTTTACTTTTGGTACAAAAAAAAGCTATTATGTTTCTAAACGAAAATGTAAAAAAAATAAATCGTATTTTAATTTTTTTTTTAAAATTGACTTTATTTTTTAGGTAAAAAAAATACGTTTTGGTTTAAAAAAATTATGTTTCAAAATCATTTTTACATACTTTGAAAGTTTCAAAAAATAATGCAATAAACAAATCAAACAAAATTATTACAGATTTGGTGCTCCATACAAAATATTTAAAAAATAAAATCTTTCTTTCAAGTCAAAACATTAAAGAAAAACATGTTTTGACTTGTCTGAAATTACTGTCTTCTTGATTCATGCTTTCTGTCCACATAATTTAACTACTAAAATGTCTTTGGGATACGAATAATTCAAATTGTATCAGAAGGAAAAGAATTTAAAAATCGAGGTAAAAACAAACCTTTATTAGCAGATGCTAGTATTTAATTTTAGTTAATTAATTGATATTTCATGTTTTCATTCACTCACGTTAGCAACAAGTTTACATTTTATTTTTATAAGTACAATTTTTCTTTTAGTGAGGGTTCAGTTCCCCACTAACTAAAAAGCATCACAATTTTTAAAATTTGGTACTTTAAAACTAAACCACCTAAACAGTGTATGCATTGTTATTGTTATGGAATGTTGTACAATTTACTATTATTATTAACATTATATTCCTTAAAAATGTTCATTTTTGCTTCCAGTATTTCCTTAGAATTCTCAATGAAAAGATTTTTTTTTACCCGACACCGGTTTACCAACCGAACGAACCACAATTACATTCGCCTTTTAAAATATTGTTTAAATGGTTGTATGGTTTTATTTTTGTAACAAACTTTTAAACCAGAATTTCCGTTAAAGAAAGAGTCTAAAAAATTCAAAAAAACTTGTTCTCTAATTGGTTATTTTTTATCAAGATTATTTAATAATGATTATTGTTATTGTTCTTTACTAGCCTTACCATCCCCAACATAAAAGATCCTTTGTTAGATAACATTTAACAATGTATTCGAAGATTTCAGTAAATTTTATTTTTATTTTCGAATTACATCAGTCACCATAAACTCTTTGACAAGGGCGAGGACCTTAGTTGATTATTGTAATTGAGGTGATCAACACTTGTGATCATTGTAAAAAAAAAAAATCAAAGGTTTGGATTTTTTCTTTACATTTTTAAAATATTTTCCTCGCTTGAATAGTAGTTTTTTTTTTTTTTGTGTGGGGGGGGTCAGGTAAATATTTAAAATTAATTTTTTTTTTTTTTTTTACATTCCAACTCCTGTAGTAGTGTAGACTGAGTACATTGTGGCATATAGCTGTTGTGTTTTTTTAAATTTTTACTGTGTATGTGTGTGTGTGGGGGGGGGGGAAGAATCCACCCGCATAACTCAAGCAAGAATTTATGAAATTGGTCATCCAAAAATAGTGTAATAGGCTTATTGCTACAGAACAGAGTGTAACCATTTCAATACAATGAAGTTATTCTGCTTGTAGGATAGGTACTTTTACTCCTTGGTCAGCAGGTCTCCAATTTATTAGCCTACTTCTTTCAAAGACAGAGACAAGTTTAATTGTGGGTGTTGAACCACTTGGTCTGGGGATAGTACAATGTATTTGACACAAGTGATTCCATATTTGATACATGAAGAAATGTTTTTTGTGCTACCGAATGTGGCACAAGGTCAAGTTTTAAAGTAGGTTTAATGGCAATTCCATGGAAAAATTACTGAAGTCAACTTGGTACTTTCCCTTTTAGATTGCCTCAGATGCCAAGCAATAAATTTTCTCCTCTCAAATGAGAGTTATTGCCTGGAGGGAAGGACCCCTGGGGCTTGGGCTTAATATTTTTTTTTAAACTTGCCCGCATAGGCATTTTGTGACCGCAGGGAAACATAAAGTTGTTTACCAATATTTTCAATGTTAATGATAAAAATATACATTGGCGTGATTTCTATATTCATTTGCAAGGCTAATGTTTACAGCTCCTTTTAATTTCTTTTTCACTTTCCAGTAATAGTCCCAATCTATTAATGCCATGTCCCTTCAAAACACAGACGACCATGACTCTCCACAGATTACTTTACTTTCTCTATGAAGTACCATGCATTCTTGGGGAAAAATAGTGGAGTGGTTTCCTGTTGCCTTTCTTATGGTTTTGAATTTGGAAGAGTTTCATATTTCTTATACTAGTTGATACTCACGACTAGAGAGCCCAGTCTACCTTTTTGTATTACCCATAGTAATATGGACAAGTAAAAGAGACAGATTCATGCTGACCTCAAGAGCATTTGTGTGAAAATGACCTTGACAGGCTCACCCAAAATCATCAATTACTCTTTTCATGCCAATATGCATTACACCATCCAGGTTATCTATTATGTGGACTATAATGTAGTACATCTGCTAATATATTTTGTTAGTTACCATTATATTATCTTCTACTAAAAAGAAGAAACTAACCCATTCTGTATTGTACAGATTAAAAAGGCTGCAAAATAATCCATCCAAATCTAGCGGTAACTGTACAGTTGAAGAAGGCTGCAGAATGGCCCATCCAATAACAAAAGAAACAACAAATTGCAAAACAACCCATCCAAGATCGAGTGATAATTGTACAGTTGAAGACAGCAGCAGAACGGCCCATCCAAGATCTAGTGGCAATAAGAAAAGAAACATCAAATGCTGAATTTATATCCCTAGCTTCAAACATCATAACAGGCAATGAACCAGACAACTTCATAGTTTTCTCAGATTCATTAACGTAATGAAGGTACGTAGTAATGGATATCAGCTCAGATTGAGTAATCAGACAGCCGAGTTCAAATTCCAGTTGAGTTATGTTACAGTCACTTACGTGCAAATACCACCGGGAAAGGTATGAATCCATCTCTTCTCCCCTCCAGTTCTAGGTAAATAGCAGGATGGGCTGGACACTATCACCTTGGGTGGCAACCATGAAGGACAACTCTGAATTCAAAACCTTCAATTATGAGTTAAATAGCCTCACTAACCCACAATTGGCCAAGCATGTTGAGTATGGCTAATAACTGCTGAAGACATGATTGGTCAATCAAGTAGGTGTTCCTCCAGTGGCAGTAAGAATGCTCTGGATTTGGTCGGCTTTCAATAGCCCTGGGAAGGTTTGGAAATACCCATATTTACATCACTGAGAAATAAAAACGCAAACAGTCCCTTAGTAGTTAAGTGACTAAACAAATTCAATCTCATTTGAAAGAAAAAAAAATTGTCTTCTGTTGGGTACCTAGCCATATCAGCATCTGCAGAAATGGAGTAGCTAATGTGGCAGCAAAAGTATCCTTAAAAATGAACATTTCAGATTTGAAAATCCCTTAAACAGATTTCAACTATAAACTGATACATTCTAAACAAGTGGCAAGTGTTATGGAACTACCACTCAAACAACAAACTTTACAAAATTAAACCAATTCTAGGAAAATGGCTTCATGATCTCAGACTTTTTTGGAAGGAAGAATTGATTGTATCAAGAATCAGAACAGGGCACACCTATTTCTCTTGCTCATTTCTCCTCCAAAATGAACCTCCTCCTGAATACACAGAATGTCAGGGGACGTATACTGTAAAACATATTCTCACCAATTGTACCAGCCCTGCCATTATATGTCAATGATTTTATGACATGACTAGTCTGGAGGACTTTTTCAAGAAGGTAAAAGTAGAGACTTGAAGGAGATTCATCTATACCACAAATTATGACACTAAATAACTCTGTTCCAGAGACATAACTGGAATGTGATGGGATCAACAAAGCAAAGGATTGCTTACTAGCCATATATTTTTTTTAAAATATTTTTGGCATTAAATAATTGACAGTTGATATGTCGTTAAAACAGAAGATCAATCAGTAACAAGAAAAACAGTTCAGGAGTACAAACACCTCATCTACAAATTACAAAAGGATGTATGGATTGCATAACGGTTATTGGTGCAGAAAGTAAAATCAGAATGCCAAGTTCAAATCCCAGTAAATTCAGTTTTGTTTACTTTGTGCTAATGTCCTGTTCTAATAGTTTTTTTTTTTCTTGCACTTTTCACCTTTGAAACTCTCATCTGACTTCTTGCTTTCCTGCCAATCACAATCATCAAAAATTCATCGTCTGTTCTTTTATTGTTCTTTTTCTTCGATGACAGTTTCTTTCACCCTCAGTAACTCCTCGCTTTTTAGTGGCTTTATTGCCTTACTTGAGGTGAACTGATTTAAAAAAAAAAAAAAATGGTATGAGTCATCCTTCCTCCACCTAGTGGGTAAGTACCAGGGCAGACTGGATTATCTTACCTTGAGCTAACAACCTCTCTAGGAGAAAAGAAAACATTGAATTCAGAACCAGCCTACAGTGGAATGGGCTCAGTCAGGTTATCTTGCCCTAGACACACCCACTACTGTTATGGCTGCACTACATGTGGTACCCTGATATCCCTGATGGGTTATGGGACTAGTGATGTAGTGAGTTAATTTTATTACTTCTTTAAATCATCCATACTTTTCATAATTCTTTCTTCAAAATCATTGAGATTGATTGCAAATATGGATGTTCATTTAGTTTGTGGTCGTCCTTTGGGTCTGAGAAAGATTTAATCTTGCAATTCATCAGTGGATCTGGATGTATTTTCAAGATGAACCTGTGCAAGAAGAATTTATAATGGGAAAAATTATTGCACTGGGATAATCCAGCTCTCTCGGCCTAGGGAGTCTTTATCTGATGTCACAAGGAATTGTCACATATGGAGAATTCCAGGCTGCAGTAAATGAGCAGGACTTCTACATGTCATGTCTATGCCCTAATACACTGCACATCACTTGCTGACACCACCTTTTTTTTTTTTTTTTTTCCCATCATTTTACCTCGAGCCAGGCAATAAAGCCACTAAGATGCACGGTTTAACTGAACATTATTAATAAGAGAGAACAACAAAAGAACAGGAATTAAGAAGCCATTTCAACTGTAAAATGATGAGACCTTGCCACCAATCTAGTAATGCACTTAAATTCATAAAGTCTACGTACTAAAGAGGAAAGTAATATTTATTCTGTACAATACAGAAATGTGGCACAAGGCCGAAAAGGGGATTGGGGAAAGGACGGTCTTCTTCTGTCTTAATTATAACTTAGCTAGCCGCAAACACTGACCCAATCGTACAAAACAATATTCCTTACACCAAAACAACACATTCGTACATACCTTTCTTACTACAACCACCATAATACCTATTTGTCTCTATGAAAATACTAACTAGTCCCCATATTTACAATTTGTTGTCTGTGGGGGGAGAGGGGAATAAAACAACAATTCTAAAAGTTAACCCCAATGAGTACTAAAGAGGAAAGTTCATCAGAACAGTTACCATGGAAATATTTATAGAAAAGACATATGGAAAGCTATATTACGTTGGTGGGAAAGTGACTGAAGCCGAGATGCCAGGTCATGACCAATAACATTCATGGTTGAATCTTTATGATATTTCATACCACCCATTCCATTGGGAATCAGTTTTCACATGCAATCGGACTGATAGACCTGAAATTATCAAGGTTTTTGACCTGTTGACTACCCTCACGTGCACTTCATGCAAACCACTATTTGGAGCCACAGATGAGAGTTGGGCACCAAGTGGAGGAGACCAATGCAGATAAGCTCCCACCAAAGAATGTATATTTATAGAATCAGTCATGAGAATGTGATTCAAGGGAATGCAATCATAAGATATACATGAAATCTTTTAATTGTCAATCTTTTCTGCCTTTTATTGTTTTGTGTTATCTTTACTTTTATTTTTTCTCAGCTGAATTCTGTTATTTAACAAGCATGGCAACAGAAGATGAAAACCTGAATGCAAGTGGACAGTTTTCCTTCCGAGGAATTGACTATGTCATCTTTATGACAGTCGACAAAGATGGAAACAGTTTCACAATTGAAGTTCAAGACAGTCTGACTGTTGATCATTGGGGTGGAACATTTGATGTCGAATGTAAGTCTGAAAACTTATTTATCTTACCCACACACATATAAATTCTTTTGAAGTTAAAACATTTAACTCTTTAACTTTATTTAATTATAAAATGCATTCTTTGGCAATAGAAAATATACAATTTATAGTATCTTATATATGAAAATTAAGTTGTACAGCATGGTTTTGTACTGGGGAAGATTAAATTTGGTAGAGAGGTTCATTTTGTTCCAGCAAAAGTCATAGGCTATATGAATTTTTCTATGGATGTGAGTGGGTCAATTTATTATTATTATTAGACTGACAGTTAGAGTTATAGAGTCATTGTGTACTCCAAGATCCTTTCATTAGCTGCATATAGTATGTCCTTTGTCAGGGCTACATATGGTTTTTGAGTAGAGTTGTCCTTCTTCCAGACTGGTTGGCAATCAAGGCTGAAGAACCCAGTCTGCTGTACTATTTTTAACCCATAGCTGAGGAGGGATATAACATACACACACACATATATATATATAGTGTGTGTGTACAGAAACATAGTTTTAAAGTGTGCTATATTTATGGGATAAAGTACTCAATATCAGAGATAGTGTATGTAAATATAAATATAAAAGTGAACATTGAAGTCCGTTGTGGCCTGTTAGGGGCCAGAAAGAAAGACACGGAAAGAAGAAGGTAGGTTGAACAAGTGTATTGAAATAACAGAACATATATACAAAATAAGAGTGTTATTAGTCAGCAGATAGAAGTGTCCATTCAAACTGTCAGGTTACACTGCGTCCCTACTGCCGATATGTAACAGTCCCCCCCACGAGGAATGTATGTAGCACAAGGCTGGGTTTAACGTGGGTTTCTCCAAGCCCATAGGCTCGGCCAAAAAAATATTCCCTTAGAACCCGGTTCAGCAGCTTCGTCCGGGTTCCTCTCTGCCAAAGCAGAGTTCAACAGAAGTCGAACACAGTCAGAGACTGCGGGTCGACTGCCTCCCTTAGGAAGTCTTGCAGGTTAGTATTTATGAAGGAGGAAGAGTTCATTTTAATGTAGATAGGTCACCATAACAAAGTCAACATCCAGAGGCAACAGGCTGTTTCATGCTAGATGCACTCATCAGACAGACGATTGAAACAGCCTCTCAGTGTTGGCTTTTATGTTATATATATATATATATATATATATATATATATATATATATATAAACAAAATCCAAAATTACCTCATATTTGATAAATCTATTTCAACTGATGAAAACTACATTGGCTGGTGAAATTTTATATACACAGCCTCAAGAACTCAGAAATGATAAACCAAGTGAGCACTATGTAGAATTGAAAACCATGTCTTAATATTCAGCGGATCAGTCAGGACTGTCCAGCAGATGCTGCCAAATCGACGAATCATGGACTGCTTGAGTAGTTCTTAAAACTTGGCTTCCACTACTTGAACGCAAATAGGCGGGAACATGTTGCGAAATCCGCATCTCCAACCTCAGATTAGTTTGTCCCGTGTATGCTGCTTCAATTAAAATTTAATTTATTTTAATCGTATTCCAACTTTACCCCCTCTTTTGTTATTATCGCTGTGTCTTGATTGTTTTGTATTTCACCAACAATTGCCTTTGTAAAAGTGTTGGTTGAAAGGATCTTAAGGTATAAAATGACGTCTATTTTGTTTAAATCTATGTTCTATGTTGTGGGTACAAGTCTCTTTATTTATTTATATATATATATATATATATATATATAATACACTGGGTGTAACAGCAAAATTGTTCGCTTTTTAGATTGAGCTTTGAACCATTTTATCTTAGAAATGATTAAAGATATCTTACTGGAATTTTCTGAGGTTTTTATAATACTATTGGGCTCTACTTTGAGCAACAAGAATGTATAATTACTCTCCAAGTTTAACAGAAGAATTGTGATGAAATCAATTCTAAACAAAAATGACATGTTCATCATTAATTAATTAATAGCTAAGGATCAGAAGCTCATGAAGGATTGAAATTAGGTTCAAATAAATACATATACATATATATTTTCCAGGATCATTTTCCAACTTATTCAAGATGATCTTCACCCCCTCTAACTTTCTGTTCTGGAATAACAAGGTGCCTCACAGGTTTCGCGTATGACTTTATTTTCAAGTCTTTTTTTCACTGTACTTTGGACTGTCATTGCTGAAACTCTTCTCTCACATGCCAAACATTTTATGGATTGAATTAGATCTTTTCTAATTGATCTCTTTAGCTCTAAGTTGAAATGATGATCCCTTTTGCTTTTGTGACCTGCTGATCTAGTTTTCTTTACTGTTCCCTCTTTTTAAAACTTATTCACCATTCTCTTAATGGTTCTTGAATGGACTTTGAAGAAGATGGAAGCCAGAGTATGAATGTTGGTACCATTACTGAAGACTTGAATGATATTTTTCCTTTCACCATTGCTCATTTGGGAAGACAATAGAGCTGACACAAAATGATTTTAACCTGTTCTCTTTCTAGCTGAATAGCTCAAAAAATGTGCCAAAGGAAGCTAAAAGGTGCCAAGGAAGCTAAACGTCTTATCTGAAAACCTAGAAAAAAGAAACTCAAGTGGTTTGTTCTAGATATTAAACATGTTTTGTTGAATAATATAGTCATATTGTGTCTTCTTATTTTTATACTGATCCTTTCCTGTTGTCTAATTAGTTTCTTGATGTTGAGGTGAAATCCATCAAGAAAAGCACCTTAGTTTTTTATAACCCAAACACTTTTGACCTTTTCTAAGATCATCTTCAGTGGCAAATTACAAAGACAAATAATAACTATTGTAACTGCGATAAAATCAGTATGTCCACGTGTGTTTTTAAAAAATTTTATTCTTTGTTTTCTTGAACCCTCTTTTATTGTCCTTTCTCCTCACTCTTCTCATTCTCTTTCACTCCTAGTAACCCCTTCCATCCTAGTGGCATTATCACCTTGATTGGGGTGAAATGATAAAAACAAAAAAATAAATAAATAAATAAATTCAGACTTTTAGATTTTTAACCAGTATTAAAATCTGCATATAATAATGCTATTTCTTTATAAATGCCTGTCTGTATATTTTTTTTTTTTTCATTTTTATTTCATATTTTTTATTTGAATATTTATATTTTTATCTTGTATCTATGTCTTTGAGAAATTTTATAAAGATGACATTTTTATGATATTACATACATAAAGTCTTCATGCATTTCATCATATAACACACTTGCATTCAACACTATTTTTTCTTTCATTTACTAAAGTGTTTACTGAGAAGAATGATGTTACTATAGAAATAAATTATAAATAGATCTTTTGTTTTCACTAGAGTCATTATCATTGCAACAGTTGTTTAGACTGGTTTATAGCAATATCATGTTGAAACACTGGCTATTTCAAAATCACCAAAGATCCCTTTATAGGTGACCACTTGGGAATTTTGGCTGCTGTAAGCTTGGATGTTTGTGAGGTGTAATGTATAATGGCTCGAAATTGGAAATCAGATAATTGCATTCAGGTTCTTTATATTCACTTACGCAGAAATACCCTTGGGAAAAGGCATGAATCCACCACTTCTCCTCCCAACTATGGGTTAAATAGTAGGTTATGTTACAATGTAAAAAAAGTATTTTCTGACTTTAAATAACCTGCAAAAGGTTGGTAAGCTGTAAAATACAAATCTATTAAGTGTTCAGACTATTGAAAACATTTTTTTGCAAATGTTACTATAGAAATGCATTATAGATAATGCTGCTATAGAAGTACATTGGAAATGGACCTGCTATAATTTTGACAAGTGCCATTATCATTGCCAAAATTGTTCAGACTTCTAAACTCATTCTTTATGTTGATTTTGTTGTTTCCACAATTTTTCAACCAATTCATTTACAGACTTCTTCAGGTATACAATCTGCAAGAACCCTGCTTTTTTTTTAATAAAGAAGGTTGTAAAACTGAGTGGCCAAAGTGTTGTGATAAGAAAATCTATAAGAAGGAGTCCAATAATTTGAACAACTCTTTGAAAAATATCAATATATTGTGTGCAATTGTTGATGTTTCTATTATCAATCATGATTTGTTTTTTTTTCTTTTTATTTCAGATATTGAAGGTCTTACTCACAAAACTGGCAATTTTAAACAATTCTCCATTTTCGCTAATATGTTGAAAACTGCAATTTTACAGGTTTGGCATTACTAAAAATATTTTTATATTCGATGTAATTTTAATAATTCCAATTTCATCTTCCATCATTTTAATTGCTTCTTTTTCCACACTCATCTCATAATTTAATCAAATAGAATTTTTTTGCAACATGGTGACATATGTTTAAATCCTCACAGTATTTAGTATTGTTGAAATTATCAGTAACATTTTTTGTCAAGATTTACAAAATCTACATTTCATTCAATTTCTCAAACCAATCAATGAAATATAAGAACTTATGCAAAAGACAATATTGCATTTTTATTAAATAAGTATTTATTTTACTCATCAAATTGTTTTTAAAATAGTGTATTTTTTATGTTAAATAATAAAACTTTTAATTTTTCCAAAAAGAATTAATGAAAATGTATTGTACTAAGCTACACACCATAGTAAAACCAACTTACCTGTTGGCACTTCTCCCCAAAATTTAGTTTTGATTGGTCACTGTCTGGCTATTTTAGCAGGTGTAATGGCTGGGCAGATGGACAGACTAATGGAATTCACAGAATTTTATATATAGATTTGATGATTTTAATAATAAATGGTAATTTAATAAAATTTTCATAACTACCATATTTTATAACATAAAACTGTCCCCTCCATTTACATTTAACTACCAGCATGGCCCAGCGTTGCCCATGCTTGATTAAAAAATTGTACGACTTGTACAGCAATCGCTATCACTTGACTTAAAATATTTTTGCTCTTCCTTGCCTTTAAAGGAGTGCCCTTTGCCTTGCTGATGTTGCTACATGCCTTACTTCTTGCCTATCTCACACTGCAAATTTTTTCTAAGCTCTATACTAAACAGTAAATCTGTTACGAAAAAAGAACTAAACAAAATGAACACAAACCGATCAGCTTTAAAAAAAGGACTCGTAACTGGAAAAACCGAATGAAAAAAGAATGTTAACAACAAATACTTTTTCACACCCAACCCAGTTCTGCAGAATCAACGTTGAGTTTAAGCAAGCGAATGAGCCAGCTGGAGCAAAGTGCCATACTGATTTAAAATTTTTCTCACTTGTGACAAATGCAGCTATCAATTTTTTTTTTTTTTTGCATGCTACTTAACATTCGTGTCAGTCAGCTGTTAGCTCTCACACTGGCCAATAGAATCTTCCTGCCTATTCGTGGCAGCCAAGTATAGGCTCTCACTCTGGCCAGTAGAAAATGGCTGCAAACTACATGAAAACTGCCGTAGAAGCATGAAAAAATCGATTATTTCCACTATCGATGGGAGTTGGGAAATGCAAAGTCAGTCTTGGCCTTCCCGCTAACTTGGAGCATGTGCATGTAAACTTTGGTGCAAATCCGTCAAAAATTGTGGCCATGCATTCATTACACACACACACACACATTCTGCCTTTTTATAGATAGAAATATTTCTGTTTTATGGAATTAAGCTTAGTACAAATATTAGTTGTCTATTGTGTTTGGGTAGGAATATTGTGCTGTTGTGACCCTGAAGCCATCTCTGCTTGCCTTGCTCTTTAACATTCAATCAACTGTTATTTTCTTTTTTTTTTTTTTTTTTTTTTTTTTAATCAAGCTATTACTGGGAAATAAACAGCTATTTCCACAATAATGTAGGTAACATTAATGGGAAATATCAACGTTAGAAATTTTCAGTTTTGGCAAATCCATCTGTATGTGCAGGTAGTGTGATGGATACAGTACAGAAAGTGAAAATGGCAAGCAAGTTCAAATTCTGGACTAACCTTTTACTTTCAAACATGCCCTTGATGAAAGCACAAAACCCTCTCTTCTCAATTCCAAGCTATGGGTTAAATAGCAGGGTAGACTGGGCTCTCTAGTCTTGGTTGGCAACTAGTCTAAAAGAAAGAAAAATTCAAATGATGAAGAAAGCAACAGGAAATTATTCCACTGTCTTTCACAAGAATGCATGACAATTCATAAATAATAAATAAAAAATAATCTGTGGAGAGTCATGATTGCTCATATCCTGAAGAGACACAACATTTTAAAGTAATTTATATGATGTGGATGCATGGTTGTGTAATGGTTAGTGGCATAGAATGAGGAATCTGAGAGCCAGGTTCAAATTCCAGTCAAGTTCATTACATTCACTTATGGTGCAATGTGCATACCCTTGAGAAAGGTATGATTCCATCTATTCTTCGCTCCCCAGCTACAGGTAAATAGCAAGATAGAATGGGTTCTATAGCCTTGATTGCCAACCAGTCTAGGAGAAGGAAAACTAAATTCAAACCAGCCTGGAGAGGGTTGGGGCTCTGTCAGGCTATCTTGCCCAAGACACACAACTATTGCTACAACCACAATACATGTTGTGCCTCTATGGCTCTAACGGGTTATGAGAGTAGTGAATGGGATCTATATGATGAATTATTTTTGTTTCCCTGTCTGTAACTTCTGTCATGCTAAAGCAAGCAGTGGACACACATACACAAAATGAAGTTCTGTCTTTTGTGTGTTCACAACTATGGCTGGTTATTTCAATAGTATTACTACTACTATTGTTGAATGGAAAACAACTATAGGTATCTTGGATTTTGCAAGAATAAAACAAACAAAAAAACTTTTTGCCTTATAAGAAGCTTGTTTTTCAAATAAAAAAAATCATCTAATGTCTTAAATGTAAAGTTGAGGCCTCCTGTAGGTTAATTTTATCCCAAAGTCTCACTATCATAGGCTGTAATTATATTGGCAGGTGCAACACCTTAATACTTTAAGGTGACATTTTGATCCAAGGCAAGGTCCACAGTTATTCTGATCCACAACAAAAGCACTGATTCATAAATAATCTGTAAGTTTTTGACAGGTATTGTGCTAGTAAGATGTGCTTTTAGTGTAACGGATACCAGTATCGAAGGTGGAACTGACGAGCTGAGTTAAAATTCCAAGCTAGTCTGCTGCTTTCACTTTCACACTAATGCCCTGGAGAAATGTATGAATCTGTCTCTGCTCAGCATGCCAATTATAGGTTAAATAGCAACATCTAAGGTTCTCTAGCCTTAGGTGGCAATCAGTCTAAGAGAAGTAAAATTCTGAATTCTAAACCATGAAGAGGAGGCAATGGGAAACCACTTAACTATCTCTCCCAAAAATGCATGGCAATTCACAGATAATGAAGAAAAGGAATATGTGGAGAGCCATGATCGCCTATATCCTGAAAGAAGATGGCATTAAAAATACACTGCTAAAAGTCATTTTTTTGTGCTGTGTCTCTTCAGGATATTGGTGATAATGGCTCTCCACAATTTCCTGTCCTTTGTAGCTCTTATTAAATTTTTTTTTTTTTATCTCTCCTATACTTTATTCCACCATCCATTTAGCAACTATTTTACCATCTCTCTCTTTCTTTCCCTCTTTGTCTACTTTGGCATTCAACTCTTCAATGACAATTATTTCTTGTGATTTACCTAATCCTAATCTTACTTATTATAAAACCCAGGTCGTGTGTGTCTGTATGTTTATATATTGGATCGGATTTCCTACATTTTTCAAACGATTTCAACAAAACTTCACAGGACTACGTAAAATTACCTTGCGGTGGTTCTGACAGCACCAAAAATTGGAAAAACACAATTGTTTTTGCATGAAATCAATTTGAAAACATGATTAAGAGGCATCTGTCGCCAGAATGGAAGGGAGACAACTCATATCGAGTTATACCCAGGTTGTTTTTTTTTTTTTGTGTGTGTGTTCATTTATATATGGGATCGGATTTCCAACATTTTTCAACCGATTTCAACAAAACTTCACTTTTTTTCTTTTTTTTTTTTTTGGCAGGTAGTGTTTCTTATTGTCTTGAACACTTTTTTCTTTATTTTTACATTCAGAATGCTTTAAAAATTTCATTTAAAAGACGATTGTTTATAATAAAATTCTATTCAATTGGTAGATTCATAACGATTGAAAACGATGTTTTTCTTTGAGTTTGGGTTTGACCAATTCATTTAAAAATACAAAAAAAAAAAACTAATTGAGACATGCGTGTACGTCAACCTTAAACAATAATCTTTGTCAATTTTATTTTTCAGTCTTTATGATGATCGATACTTGATCTATCTCTTACTGTTACATCCCCGGGCAACGCTGGGCTCTACTGCTAGTAATAACTAGAAAGACCCATGAAAATTTCATGGTTCTTCTATTTGAATTTTCTGGGGAATTTTAATTCTTAACTTAATGATTGAATAAGCTCATGGCAAATTCTATGACAATAAAATATCCATAGAAATTCCCCTATCACAATTGTTAAATATTTGAGCTTAGCAAATGAATGCAGGTCATTATTTTTAAAAATAAGGACATACAAATGAAAAGATTTGAAATTGACAACTTTTTCTATTTCACTGAAACAGACGTTAAATACTGCTATCTTTTTTTTTTCTTTCTTTCATTTTCTCACTGAAACCAAGTAGTGTTATGTCTTTTGTTTTTCTATGCAATCAAAATGGAATGGTTCATTATTTATGGGGTATTGGAAGGTAATGTTAAACACTTCTTTCTTCCTAGACAAATCCCCATCTTACAAACATTTTTCTTAATGACAATTTAAAAATAATTCAGCAACTGATGTTATTTCATTTATGATAAATGGATTTTTGGTAATTGATTTACTCAGTTTTTGTCGTTCGATATTGTGCATCTGAAAAAAGGCATTTTGTCACAGTTGTCAACGTTTCTAAGCCATTTGGCTAAGATCAAAATGTAGTATCAGCTTGATCTGATTCACTATCTTTCTCTCTCCAGTTGTTTCTTTTGTTTTCTCACTGAAACTAAGTAGTGTCTTTCCCTGCAATCAAAACAGAATAGTTCATTATTTATGTAGTATTTGGTAGGGCGTTATGGTGGTGTGAACTAATGCAAGAAGGAACAAACGCAATTATAATAGAATAATAAAACAAGCTTAATTTAAGAAAATCGGTCAATATGGGTTATTTCCCTTTAAGTGTTTTTTTTTTTTTTTTTTTTTTTTTGCGTTTCTTTTTTTTAATTTACTGTGTGTGTGTGTGTGGACTTGGTTCCTAGATAGATTGTAAAAGTATAAAATCTTGAATGTTATAAAACTTAGTCATTACATGTGGAAATAATTTATGCCAAGTAAATCTGTAAATATAATTACCTTTGTTATTTTTACTCATCTTTCTTTTAAGTCTCTGCTTGTATTTTTAGTTCTTTAGTTTTTAAACTAAATTTCATATTATTTACATTTTTTTTATATATATTCTTATATATATTTTAAATATATTTACAGTACTTTGTAATATGCTTACAATATTTTTTGATGTGTTATATGCTAACAATATCTTTTAATATGCTTATAATATTTTTAATATACTTACAATATATTTTAATAAACTTACATTTTTAATATGTTTATAATATTTTTAATATGCTTATAATATTTTTAATATGCTTACAATATTTTTAATATACTTACATTTTTAATATGTTTATAATATTTTTAATATGCTTATAATATTTTTACTGCATTACAATACTGAAATGTCAAATTATATTCTAGAAAAGTGACAGCGTAACATTGGATTTGTTAACATACTCTGACCTTGAGCTACTTCGACAACGGCGTTCAGGAACAAATGGAATGACACCTACAGTGATGGCGAAACCTATCTGTCCCTCGAACCTTAAGTCAAGACGATATTTGATTCTAATTTACACAGTTGAATTTGATAGGTAAGTGAAATCTTAATAACCTGAGTGAGCCAGACATAAAAAGTAAAATGGTTTTTAATAGTTGAAACCCACAGAATTGCCTAATTGCCACAAAATTAGTTTTAAAGACTTCTATAAAAAAAAGATATTATTACTTTGTGTACAAAAAAAAATGTTATCTGTTATAAAGACTAGTTTCTCTATATTTTAATTTCATTTAATACTCTGTAGAATAGTAGCTCAGATTGAGGAATCAGAGAGCCGAATTTGAATTCCAGTCAAATCCATTACATTCACTTAACGTGCTAATACCCTTGGGGAAAGGTATGAATCTTCTTCTTCTACCCCAGCTATTGGAAAATAGTGGAACAGACCGGGTTCTATAACCTTGGATGGCAACTGGTCTACTGCAGAAAGAAATGGCAAGCTACTGCGGGAAAAAATCTGCCTCGTTAGTCATGTATTGAAAGATATATGATTACATAAGCATGTATTACACATGGCACATAACTGACTGAGTATCTTCATTAAGCAGATATTGTAAAAATAATTCTGTATACACACACTGTCATCTCATATAATATGTGTGTATGTGTATATACACACACACACACACACACACACACACACACACACAATCATATATATCTATATAATAAATATGAATATCAGTGTATCACTGTGCCACACTTTATCAACTCCTAGAGGCTGTAGCCCAACACATCATACGATTTTGGAATCAGGCCGACTCTGTGAATAAATTAAAAACATTCCATTCCAGGCTGTATCCGGAACCACAATACCAAAATTTTAGATTCTCAAGTTTTCATTATTGTGATTGTTTTTGGTGATTTTTTTTTTTTTTTTTTACATGATTTTTTTTGCGACAAATTTTTATGTACGATAATTTTTATAATTTGGAAATTAATTTGGTAATAATTAAAGTTAATTGCAAAAGTCAGCCATGAAATAAAAATAATTGTTTGTATGGAAAGTAAGGACCTATGTACATCAAACTGTCTTTAGATTAAGTGGAAGAGGAATTATTGTTGAACTTTTAAAAGGTAAGCTTAAATATTAAGAGCTCAAAATTTTTGCTTTTAAACTACAAATTTCTCATGATTTCTCTTGAAATTCAACCTTGCTAATCAGATTCTTCCTCTGTAGCTAAGTGGTATAGCATGTCAGGCTATACCATTTATCCGTGTAGGATACAGGTTTGATTCCTCTCAGAGGACACATATTTTCTATGAAATTTCTCAGTCATTCAAGCTGGTAGATGTTCTTGATACTGTTTATTATAAACAGAGTATTTACTTAAATATTTGTATCTATAAAAATAACATATAAACAATAAATATATTAAAATATCTATCTATCTATCTATCTATCTATCTATATATATATATATATATATATATATATATATATATATAGTATAAAATGAAAATTGGAAAAAAAATCTGAGATTTTGCGAGTTTTGTCTTCCGACCTTTACAAGGCAAAAATGAAATCAGAAGACAAAACTTGTTGGCCAAATCTCAGATTTTTTTTCCAGTTGTCATTTTATACCAATCTGTCTTGTCCACAGAATTGATCTGTGAATTTAACTATATATATATATATATATATATATATATATATATATATATAGCCTGACGATTACATTTAGCATAAAACAGACTGTTGTCCCTGGGTGTTGACCAGCGTCCAATTTTATACTTATATTTACATATGCTCTGCCCCTGATAGTGAATACTTTAAACCATAAATACAGCATACCTTAAAACTATATTTTATCTTATATATATATATATATATATATATATATATATATATATATATAGAAAGAGAGAGAGCACTCTTTTGAGAAAAAAAATTCTACTGACCTTAAAAATACATTAAAATCAAATAATTTTTAAGTACTTTGATAGATATTGTTGACATATATATGTGCAGACAGGCAGACGCACATTATGTTACTGAATTCAGTGAGTTGGGTTATTTTGTCATCAAGAAAATCTCTTCAGATGAAAACCTGCCTAACAGAATCAACTGAAGCAAGATAAAAGAATTTGACAAAGACAGAAAGTTTCAAAGACACAAAAGAAACACTCGAGGCATTGAGACTGTAAAAGGATGTTTCTATTAGATAAAACTCACAATACATTAAACCAACCACTTTAACCTCCATGTCTGATCTTTCTTTTGTAGCAACGAAATTTGGTCTCTGATGTCTGTTTCCATGATGTCGGGCTTAGCAGTAAAAGTTTTCGGAACTATTCAGTAAAACATTTTTTTTATGCGAACATGTTACTTTAGGAGTGTTTTTAAGACCAGGTTAAAGGGGGAGTATTTTTTTTTTTTTTTTCAATTAAGTTTTAAATTAATTCTGCATGAATTTCTGGAATGAAGAGTTATCATTATTTTCATTATTTACACTCTGACTATTGTCCTCATCTTTGTTGTTATTATCACTATTATTATTTCAGCTATTTTGCCATCTGGCCTTCACCCAGTGTTCCTTAATTTCTTGGATGAGGTGTTGTCATTATTTTCATTACTTACACTCTGACTATTATCCTCATCTTTGTTGTTATCACAAATTTTCAGTTGTTTTTTTCCCCTCTGTCCTTCGTCAGGTGCTTGACACAGGTAAACTTCAAGGAATTTAGAAACATACCCTTTATTTAATTGATGGGGGTAGATTGTTTCCATTCTGTTTTTCAGAAACTTGCTCAAATTATCATTTTCTTAGAAATGAACAGTTTCAATTTCATCTTGAATGCATTGATATTTTTTTAAATCATTTCACCCCAAGCAAAGCAATAATGCGACTAAGACATAAGGGGTTACTGGGAGTGAAAGAGAACGAGAAGACTTTATTGAGTAAGAAGGACAATAAAAGAACATGATTCAGAGATACAGAAGATGGTGATTGGTGTTAGATTTAAACTTTTGAAGATTGTAGGTGACAGGGAAGCAAGAAACCGGAAGAGAGTTCCACAGGCAAGAAGTGCAAGCAAAGAAACTATTAGAACTTGTAGTTACTTCTCACTAATTCAACAGTAAAACTATGAGATCTAGTTGCCAATCTACACTTAATTTCATTCGGTTGATGTAACAAAGAGGACATCTCATTAGAACAATTGAATAATGGAAAACATGAGACCACAAGGTGCAATGAGATGGTCTCCTGGAGGTGAGCATCAGGCATGCTGATGAAAGGCAAAAAATGACTAAAAGAGTCATTTTAGAGGCATTTAAATTTACAAGTAATTTCTTGCCCCAGTTAACAACTACTTTGAGGTCATTTTTTACATTAACTGCCAGTTTTACTTTATAGGACTTACTAGTAAGACAGGAATAAATAGTTGTGCCATCATGAATATCTAGTTGGGAATTGATGACATCAGGAAGGTTGTTGATAAAGACAAGAATCGATATATGTGCAAGGGGATTCGTGGGAGACTCCATTAATATGTGAGGATCTAGAAGAGAGGCCACTTAACATGACTCATTATACTATTTATTAAAAAAAGATTGGATCAAGTCAAATATTTGGCCAGAGATGCCATAAATTCAGTAATAGTTGTTAATACACTTGTGATTGACCTAGAAAAGTAAAGGCCATATTGTTTATCTGAAAGAAGGCAGTACAAAGTGAGATGCTTGACTAATTTGGGGTTGATTAGAGCCTCTAGTACTTTACTAAAAAAATGTAAAAGACTAATTTGAGGGATCAGAAGGTTCACTAGAATTCTTAAAGAAAGAAACTACAGAAGAGGATTTTCAATAAGCTGGAAAGCAAGAAATGGCAAGGAATTTATTGTAGAGTTTGGAGAAGACAAGAGCCAGTTCAGGAGCACATTTCCTTAGAACAATTGCAGGGATACCATCAAGTCTGCATACCTCATGGAGATCTAGTTTGGCGATGACAGCAGATAAATGATAGACATTGCATTTAAAGTTTTGAAGATCATGGGTGGCAGGTAAGCAAGAATCCAGAAGAGTTTCACAGGTAAGAAGTGCAAGAAAAGAAACTATTAGAATAGAACTTAGAGTTACATCCAGGCATTTCAACAGTAAAACAATGAGACCTAGTTGCCAATCTAGTAATATGTTTAAATTCATGTGTTTTGGGGAGAAGGAAAACTCATTAGAATAATTGCTATGAGGATATTTATAGAAAAGACACAGGGAGAGCAGGTCATAGCAATAGGAAAGTGACTGAAGTCAAGATGCCAGGTAAGGACTGATAACATTACAAACCCTTATTGGATTTTGTCAAGAATCTCAAGATATATCAGCAGGAGCACCAGACCAGATATGGCAGCAATATTCAATGCACAGACAAATGGTAGATTTATAAACATACAAAAAGGATTCTGGTGAGAAAAATTGTCTGGTACAACATAGTGAATCAACTTTCCTAGCAGAAGACTTAACAATTGATTTGATATAATCATTCCACTTCATCTCAGTAGAAAACATGAGACCACAAGGTGCAATGACAGGGTCTCCTGGAGGTGAACATCAGGCATGCTGATGGAATGTCAAAATTATTCTCTGTGATTAAAAGATAACAGTTTTGTTTTGGAGGGAACAGAGAATCTACAAATGATGAGACCTAGTTGCCAATCGAGTAAAAAGCTTACATTCATGAAGTTGAGGTAGCAAAGAAGAAAGCTTATCAGAACAATTCTCATGAAAATATTTATAGTAAAGGTTCACAGGGAAGCTATGTTACAGCAGTGGGAAAATGACTGAAGCCAAGATGCCAGGTCAGGACCGATAACATTACAGATGGTTCTTTGGATTTTGGCAAGAATCTCTAGATATATAACAGAATCACCAGACCAGATATGGCAACAATATTCAGTGCACAGACTATTAAATGCGTGAAATGGTTTCTGGGGAGAAAATTGTCTAGCACAGTATAGTGAACTGACTTGCATGTCAACAGACCTATCATTTGATGCAATATAATTGTTCCACTTCATGTCAGTGGAAAATGTGAGACCAAGCAGGCACAATGAATTGGTCTCCTGAAGATTAGCATCAGAAATTTTGATGAAAGGTAAAAATAATTCTCTATGATGACTAAAAGATAGCAATTATGTTTTGGAGGCATTGAAATTTACATGCCCTTTCTTGCTTCAGTTAACAACTGATTAGGTGTCATTTTCAAGATCAACTGCCAATTTGAATTTCTGGGTTGCAAAGTTGACATTATATTATTTACATGCAGACTATTGTCCTTGTCGTTATCTTTTGTTTTTATATTGTGTTGCAATAAAGACATCTCTGGACATTCTATGAATATTAAGCATTATAAAAATAAAAACGTATCCCCCAATAAGGTTTGAAGTAACTTTCCACATCTCTTGGGATCTGTCTGACATTCTGGATTCTGGCAAGAAAAAATGTCTGGCACAGCATAGTGAACTTACTTTTCTAGTAGAAGACCTAGCAACTGCATTGATATAATTGTCCTACATCATTGCTAAAACTACTTATTCAGAAACTGTCCTGGGTACAACGATAAATTACATCTGGCAGCAAGGCCTCTGATCGGAAGGTTTTGAGGAGTATGGAGCCACTTCTTAATTGCTTTTCTTCCCAGGTCCACCCTAATCTGTGGTGGTAGCACCTGTTAGGATACCAGCTATGAGCAAATGGCTAATCTTCAAACTGGGATCAAAACACTATGAAAGCATAAAAATAGATATTTATAATAAAAAAAAAAAACAGCAATAAATTTTTGAAAAAAAAAGTATTACCAGCAATACATTTAACTCTCAACAAAAACCCTCTTTACAAAAATATATCTATGAAACTTGATCTTCTACAAACTGATTTCTTACAAAGAGTAAATTCTATTCATACAAACTTATCCTAAAAATCTTGTCAGCATTAAATAACCCATTGAGGCTGACATGCCATAAAATAAAATAAATCAAAACAAACTGTGTCCTGGGTAAGTCGATAAACTACATCCAACAACAAGGCCTCTGATCAGAAGGTTTTCAGAAGCATGGAACCACCTTTTAATTGCTGGTGTTCCCAGGTCCATCCTGATCCAGGGTGGTAGCAGCTATTAGGGGGTCCCAGATATGGGCAAATAGTTGACCCCTAAACTTGGGTCAAAACACTATGAAAGCGAAAAGTAGATTTTAATACCAGCAATACATTTTTGTAAAAGGTGTATTACCAGCAATACATTTTTGGAAGAAAAAAATATTACCAACAGTAAATCTTGTCAGCATTAAATAACCCATTGAGGTGTTGATATGCTATAAAACAAACCAATCAAATCAAACCTATTCAGAATTTTTTTTTATTTTTTCCATTTTTCTTTTTCATCTTCCTTAAGCAGATTAGTAAAATGCTTTTTTTCTTTTTTGCAGAATACATTATCCTCTTCCGCTGCATTTCAAAGAAAAGTTGAATCCAAAATCCTTACAAGAAACAGTTGTCAAGCTCCGAATGGAAATCAAACAATTAAAAGAAGAGGTGACTTTTTCTTTCTTTTTTCCCAAATTCTACAAATGTAAAGAAATTATAAACTACATGACTTAATGAAGCATTGAATAAGTTTTAAAGGGACAAGCTGGAGCAATTATAGGAATGTTTTGGTGGTGTAAAGAATATTGATATTGGTAAATAGATGTCCTATCAGGATTTATTATTGGTGGGCACAATTTTAACAACATAAGATATGCAGATAACGCAATGTTGATAACAAACACAGAAAGGAAACTTCAGTTATCTTTACCTGGCTTTCCCACTAAGACAGGAAGTGACATAAAGCTGAATTTATTATGAAGCTTTTAGTTGAAAATGTCTACGCTCTGGATATTTTGCAATTTAGCACTCATGCTAAAATTGTACAATTTAATAAAATTCAAATTGTATATTCTGGGAATGTGTGGCAAACTTTAACCTTTGTGCTTGCAAAAATAACAGTATGTCAAAAAGACAGTTTTTCTCTTGGCACTTAATTCAAGTACTTTCACTTCTTAGCAATATTTACTGTTTTTAAAAGCAGTGATTAGAATTATGATAAAACCTAAACATATGATGATAGTGGATTTATACACATTTGTTTTTGTTCTCAGTTTTATGAAGGAAGCTTGGAATGAGGAACACATTCCAAAGAAATGGGTCTATTACATATTAATGCACTATGGCAACAAAAAGGTAGTCCTCAACACCCACGTATACAGAGGTATCTCAATTGGATCCATTAAGGTGAAAGTATTAATGAACATTTACTAGGCTCTTGTCATTTTATGAAAGTCAACTCCTCACAACCCAGTTTGTTTTTCCTTCTGGTAAGGGATGCAATGATGGCATATATGCCATCAAACAATGCCAGAAAATTGCATACTACTATAATAGGAAAATTGTATGCATACTATATCGATCTCACAACAGCATATGATGACATCAATAGAGATTTTCACTTCTCATCCATTAGAAACTGCCACTGAATGTATCTATCTAATAGAAAAACTTTATCAGTTCACAAAATCTTACATGTCCAGCGAGAACCCCATTACGGAAACATTTCAAACCACATCAGAAGTAGGACAGAGAAAATCAAAGTCCCTGTCTATTTAATCTTTTCCTAGCCTATGCCCTGTACACTTATAAACACTGATGTGATGAGATGAACACTGATCATTTAAGCATTCTATACCACATCCCAAATGAATCAACTAATAGGAAACAGAAATCCTTCTCTACCTCCCAAAGCTAATGTATTTATGATGCTGATGACGTAGGTATACATAGTTGGGATAAAATTGATCCTGAACAAAATTAATCAACATCATCTACCAAGTGTTCCAAGAAATAGGACAAGATAAACTTTTCCAAAACAAACTATGATCTGGAACTGGAATGAAAGCAGTAATGGCATCTACCCTAAATCCATCATAAAAATTCAGAAAATGAAATTAATAAATACTAAACACTTCAGTTTATGGATCAGTTATAACAAATTTAGTATAGGAGGAAAGGACATTGAAAACATAGGCTGTACTAGTGATAGTTTACTCAATGGCACAAATTGCTACAAAACCAAAACATTAATGTAAAAACTTATATAGACTCATCTGATGGAGACTTTCAGGTGGATGTCATGCATGACACCAGACCCATTCAGAAATATCTAAACTGTCAGCTGTATACAGACCACTTTCTAAAATCAATGGTTAAAAATGGCTTTCAGTGAGTGAAGGGCAAAAACCATCTTTCTTTGAACATTGTGAATCACAAAGAACTGTGCCAGATAAGAGAAACTAAATCACTTGAGGACTTTCAACACCAGTAACAGCTAAAATGGATATCACATGTAACTCAAAGAGAAAATAATAACATAATCACGATATTGACATTCCACACTAATTCAAACAAAAGATCAGGAAGGAAACTCTTATCAATAACATAAAGAGCTATAACAGCTACTTTGCTTGAGAAACCTACTTTTTTGGAAAATTGTTTTAAGAGAAAGATTTTATAAATTTCAACCAACACTAGCGCTAACTGCTCAGTCAATGAAGGCTGAATGTTTCCTTATAAGGAAACGGCTAATATTGCCATTACCATTATCTATTGGAAGACAAAGATTCTAAAATTTCAGCTCAGACAACAAACTTAGAAAAAAGTATACACACACACACATATACATACATACACACGTGTTCAAGATGACTGGTGTTAGCTTCAGTCACAGGTTTTTAATTCAGTGTTGTCCTTCTCCTAGGTTGATTGTCTACCAAATTCAAAGAGCCCAGTCTGCTCTACTATAGAGATGAGTGGAGAAGAAAGTGTACAAAAGTGAATGTAATGAACTTGACTGGAATTCAAACTTGGTTTTCCAATTTCCCATTCTGAGTCACTATCCATTATTACACCAACCACACATGCGCACACACACACACACACACGTGTGTGTGATAAAATATACTTTTAAGGTATGCTATATTTATAGGTTAAAGTGCTCAATATCAGGGATAGAGCATATGTAAATATAAAAGTGGACATTGAAGTTAACACCCAGAGGCAACAGTTTGTTTCATGTTAAACACAAATGTCAGGCCATATTTTTATTATATATATATATATATATATATATGTTTCTGCATGTATGTTTTAATTTTTTTTTTCTTCAGTTTGAACCATTTTTCCCAATGTCTTTTGAATACTTACAACTTTTAAAAGATATTATCAGTATCACAATAAAAAAACAAAAAAAAATAAGATGACACAACACTATAAATTGATGCAGGAAGACATGATATTTAGCAAAAAACCTGACATGACATTGAACATCATCTCAAGATGTGACACTCGAAAACCATCAAAGAAATCCAATGCATGTTTATTGATAACCCTATCAAATCACACAGAAGAAATTCTTTGATAATGGCTTATAAATGCTGAAAATGTTCAGAAGATGCTGGACAACCTGTATTCAAATTCTCCCTGGAAATCAAAAAAATGGTTCAAAACCAAAGAAAAATTAAACAAAAAAATCTGAAACAAATAATTTTTGTTGGTCTTCAACCAAATATATATAAATTAAAAACTGCTACCCAAATAAATGCAACATGTATATATATATATATATATATATATATATATATATATATATATATATATATATATATATACACATGCATAATAGATCAAATGTTTGGAATCACCCTCTAGATTTAATAATTAGTATGTTTCATACTGTCTTTGATTTAATTAGCTCCTACTAAGCTAAGATGCTGGAACTATTTAACCCATTAGTGCATAGCATCCGATTTTGTTTTTAGATAGGGATACTTAAAATTTTAAAACAGCCAATCCTAAGATTACTATTAGCCAGCAAGTTAGATTAAGCAAAAAGTGCTAAAATTTTAAGGAAACTTTATGCTGTAATGAGTTAATTTTATTGTTATTATATAATAAAACCTTTCAAGAATCAATTTCTTGAAGAGTTTTATTTTTGAAATGAGCTTGTAAATTTATTTCAAAAAAGGCATGCAACCTTCTATCTTTAGTTGATTCTTCCAATCCCAAATTTTTGGTGTATAATGCGTGTGTGTGTGTGTGCACACACATTTGGTTTGTAGTTGTTTTTCAGTATGTTACTACTTTATAGATAACACTAGAGAAAATAAATTTTATTATATTATTCAATTTAAGAGACAGAATAAAACTAGTTCAAGTCGGACAAATGTTAAATTATTTTACAAGAACATAATTTCTACATTTGATGGCATTAAATACCATTTTATTTAAAAAAAATGTCTCAAAAAATATCACCCTGCTCTTACCTGTAACATTGAGGTATTTAGTCAGCTAATGTTTACACAGATACTGGAGCTTGCCAGTACTTGTACCTAAGCTAGACTAATACATATTAAATTGTGGATGCCTTGATATGGGGTAACATTTAGCAAAATAGTCTAGTACACCATTACTACGAGAGGGTGCTGAAAGTTTATTGAGTGAACTCACTTTCCAAAATCTGACCAAATGACTCAATATTAATTTGGGAGTGGAGAGAGTCCATTTTTGATTAGGCTGAGAAGTTTTCAGCCCTTTCTTATACTGTGTAATGAGTTTGATCTTTATTGAATGCTTCATATTTTTGGCCTTGTGTCAGACTAAACTCAACTATGCAAAGAAAAATGTTTTAGTGTTTATTGTTACTTTAGTCAAATAAGTTTCTTGATTGTAATATTTAATATTTCAGCATTAACCAAAATCTACGCAAACACTTGTGAGGGGGAGGGGACAGAATATCTGTGACTTCCATGATACTTTCCTTAGCTGCATAGTATGTGCTTCACCAGGGCTACATAGGATTTTGTATTCAGAGTTGTCTTTCTCCTAGACTGGCTCTCAACCAAGGCTGAAGAGTCCAGTCTGTTCTATTTAACCCATAGTTGGGGCAGTGCAAGTGAATGTAACTCAAATGGAATTTGAACTTGACTCTTGGATTTTCTCATTCAGAACCACTAATCATTGCACAACTCGTGTATCCAATTCCAATGAAAAGATTTCTTTACTCTTTAAGACCTGCCTGCACTTATATAATTTTCTCTTTTCCTTAAACGATTTCATTGAAATAATAAATTTTCTAAACGCTTCCACTTTTGTCACACTAAGTGCTCAGAAGTACTACATGGTTTAGTGCCACCAGTTCTAACCTTCACAGCTAGGACCACCGTGCTACGTGCAGTCCCTCTGTATTCCATTGGTGAGAAGTAAGTTCCACTTCAGATTCTTCCCATGAATCACTGCTCTAATTGACTCCCAAGAGGATGTTTTCTCAATCACTACAATCTTAATCTGTTAAAGTCTAGGGTTAACCATTATCTTCCTCACATCACATATCCACATAAACTCTGCCTATTACTCTGTAACCCTCTACCTAGTGAACCTCACTGTTAAAAGAAAAAAAGATGGCCATAATTTTTTTTTTTCATTTTTTTTTTTTTTTTTTTTTTTTTTAGATGAAAAGTAATAAACTTGCAGATTTTGAAAAACTACAAAGACAGTAAGTACAAGATTGGTTTATTATCCTTTGCATCCAGTTATTCTCCTATATCAATTTTATGTTTATATAATTTCAGTTAGAAACTTTCTCTAAGTGGTGCTGAAAATTTCTTAGCCTTACTCATTTCCCAAAATCTGACCAAACTACAGTGTGTGTGTGTGTGTGTGTGTGTGTGTGTGTGTGTATATATATATATATATATATATATATATACACACACACACTGATCTTTGGCCAGATTTGGGAAATGGGTAAAAAAGAAATGTGTGTGTGTGTGTGTATATATATATATATATATATATATATATATATATATATATATATATTATTTTTAAAATTATAACATAAATATGTTATAAAATCACTACAAAATAGCCCTTTTGTTTCAACACCTCTGGAAGCTTGATAAAGACACAGAGGTGTTGAAACAAAATGGCTATTTTTGTAGTGATTTTATAACATATTTATGTTATAATTTTTAAATAAATAATTATATTCACTCTACTCTGTATTGAGCACTCTTTTAAGAATAGTAATTGTTAGTTATTGAATTTATTCCGTATACACCAATGAATGATATATATATATATATATATATATATATATATATATATATATATATATATATATATATATATTTCTTGGTTAGGCTGAGTACATTTTAGTACTTCTCAAGATTATTTTATAATAATTATTATTATAGTAATGTTAGTCTACTCTATAAGTTTTATATTTATATTAGCATAGTACCCATCAAAATTGTCAGTTTTGTTTATGAAAGGATTGTAGCCTCTGCTTAGGATCGGAGAATGTGTGTTGGGACTAAGCACAGGATTTTGTTTACTGTTAGTTCCCCAATACAGGGCCCAAGAACCATTCAAGGTAGAGGGTTACTTAGTAACATTGTTGTAGGGGGAAGGAATAATTAAGAAGTGCAGCTTATGAGGACATGTAGGATATTGGTTGAACCTGGACTTGAAGAGACCAAGATTGTAGTTGCCCTCTATCATCATTTCTTTCTAGGACCAGGCTGTACATTGGGATCAAAGTGTAATATCTGTTTTTTTCCTCTTAGGTTTCTGACAGACAATGTGAGATATTGGCACCATGTTTTTGCTATTGGGTAATTAATAGTAAAGTAAGGAAGAAAGTTTTCGGGATTCCAGTCCTGCTGTAGCACCTCTCTCTTCAGAATCCCCAGTAAGAATCAGAGGAACCTCATGATAATGGCTGTAGAAATAGAACAATTTTTGCTCTCTATGTACATATACAGGATCAGAGTGTAATATCTGTTCACTTAGTTATGAGATTTTAATAAAGAGAGCATATAAAAAATCATACTTGGAAATTTTGTGTGTTTCTCTCGGCAGAAATATCGGTGAACAAGGGTTATCTTGGTTCCTGTCCAACCATGTGTCTTCAAAGTTCACAGTTGAAATGTCAACCCACAAAGATGTGGGAGTAAAAATCTGCTAAGACCAGATAATGGCACCATTCTTTAGTTTCACCAGATCTTTACAGCTCAGGCCAACTATGCTATATCCACAGAAACAAACCACCCTCATTCTTTCTGTATTCAACTTGTAAGAAGGAAGTTTCACATGAATGCTTCTGTGAAGACAACAGGTCTAAACCTCTTCAATCCCATACAATCACCAAAGTTAAGCAATGTCAAGCTTGATCAGTACCTAGATGGGTGACTGTTTTGGAATACCAGGTGTTGTAAGTAAGCATGGATCTGCTGGTGGTCTAATAGATAATGTCTTGGAATTGTTTATTGAAAAGTTGAGTTACAATTCCCATTGGGGTCATTATATTCACTTACACGCAAATAACCTTGGGAAAGGTATGAAACCATAATCTTCTCCCTCCGGCTATGAGTTAATTAGTATGATTTGTATTACTAAACCATTATTATCTTAACAAAAAAAGTCTTTCAATCTAAAAATATTTTCTGGATTTAAATAACCTGCAAGGGGTTGATAAGCCATAGAAAACAAATCAATCCAATCACATTATTCAGTAATCCTTTGCTTTGAGTGGCTCTTGAGTCTTGTATTAAGTGAACATTAGCAAAAAAAACAAAAAAATAATCTGAGGTGCTAGTTTGGAGAATTAGAACAGTTTGGTTGATTTTTTTTTTTTTCATCTGTCATGGTATCCACCATTTCCTCTGTTTCACCATATTTCATGCAACTCTAGAAATTACCAACTCTGAGAAATAAAGTTATTATTTGCATTTGGACTAATATCCTTATCTTTGTTGTTATTGTTATATTTTGTCTTTGTAACCTCCAGCCTTCTATCAATCCCAGTAGCCTTCACAGTATTTTGTGCTGACCCCATGGGACAATAGCCCAGAGGAATAAAGCACCCATTCATGAATTTGGTGGCACTGTAATTGTGATTTTAATCCCTGGGCAGGGTAGTAAGGCCTTACTCAGTAGAAACAGGATAAGCAATAACTGAGCAATACTGAAAAGAGAACAAGACAAGACAACCCTAGACATGATAATATTAGCTGTTTCCTTACAAGGAAATATTTGGCATTCATTGACTGAGCAACCATTATTGCTTTTGGTTAAAATTTATTAAATATGTCTCTTAAAACCATTTTCAGGAAAATGGGTTTCTCAAGTGCAGTAGCTGTTATAGTTCTTTTCAGTATTGACGGAGCGGCATTCCTTCCTAACCTTTTGTTTGATCATGGACAGCAGAATGAGAAAAATCTACCCCCATAGATCAAATAAAGGGTTCAGTTCAAAGATCCCTGAATGTTACTTGGATTGACAGATACCTGAAGAAGTCCAGATGGCATAATAGCTGAAGCATTGGGATAATAACAGCAAAAATGAAGGAAAGAGTCCAAGTGTAAATAATGTAAATATCTTATTCTTAAAATAACCTACTGACATAGATTAAATAAGTGGTTTGAAATTCTCTGAAGGTTACCCAGATTAACAGATACCTGAAGAAGGAGGGCACAACACTTGCAATGTAACAATAACAGCAAAGATGAGGATATTAATCTTTTTGTAAATAATATAAATCATGGACTACTTTGTATAAATATGTGGCTGGGTAACAGGAGTTGTTCCCCTTTGAATTGACTCTTTATTTTTTTATTTTATTTTTTTTTCAAACTAGAGAATAATAGTTCAATCAATTATCATATAAACAAAAACCTCCTTTTACAAGGCTTTTTTTTTTGTTACTGATAGTTCACCCACTACAAGGCCCGAGGATCACTCAAGGGAGATGGCTACTGAGTGAGATTCTAAAGGAGTGAAAGAAGAAAGCAATAAGAATATTATGAGGATGAGTAGGATAGATATCAGTTGACTCTTGACATAACAAGACAAAGATTGTAGTCAGTGAAGCATTCTCTCAGGAGTTTGTCCTACCTTATTCAATTGTTATTCTCTGCTCTAGGCAAAGGAGTCAATTCAAGGGAACAACTTCCTGCTCCGCAGCCACATATATTTATATTACGTAGTTCAAAGGGTTAAAGTTTTCCATCTGCCCTACTGTTTACTAATAGCTGCAGGGAGAAGTGGATTCATACCCTTTCTCAAGGGCATAGTACAAAGTGAACACAAACTGTACCCTCTTTTTGTTGATTCTCCTCTTTAGGCTATTAATCATTAGGCCACTTGCACCTTCAGTATCTGTCTATATTTTTGAGATGAGGTATTATGTACACTATTTACATTATTCAGACTACTGTCTTCATCTTTGTTGCCATATTTATCCGATCCTTCAATATCTGTCTATATTTCTGAGAGGAAATATAGACAGATACTGTACACTATTTACATTCTGACTATTGTCCTCATTTTTGTTGCCATATTTATTACAATGTTTCGGATGTTGTACGCTCTGGCCTTCTTCAGGTGGTTGGAATGTCAAACTGAACTCTTTATTTTGCTCGCTGGGGTAGACTGTCCTAGTTCCATGTGCCATGTTTAATGGATGTCAGTTATCTCTTATTAATTCCCCTCTCCAAGTTCTCCAGTGCCTTAACTGGGTATTGAACTTACACTCTTTGGGTCCTGTCACTGGATCTAACCAACACCTTTATCCACTGTGCCATGTGTCCTTTCATGCATTATTTTTTTTTGTTTAAGAATTTTACCCAAATCAAGGTTGGAGTTCCACTGATTTGCAGGGGTTTACATAGAGTGAAGGTGAGAGAAAAAACGTGTATAGAGGGAATGAAGAAAAGAAAAAAGATGAATGGGGGTTCAAGACATCAGAAGATAGTGATTGACGTTGCATTTAAATTTTTGACGATTGTAGTTATCAGGGAAGCAAGTAAATGGATGAGAATTCCACAGGTGGGAAGTGCAAGAAAAGAAGCTGTTGGAGTAGAAGTGGCAGTTACATTCAACTATTTCAATGGTAAAAGGGTGGGACCTAGAGGCCAAGGTAGTAGCATGCTTAAATTTATGTAGTCAGGGCACCAGAGAAAAAATGTTTGACAGAACAGTAGCCATAGAAATATTTGTAGAAAAGACAGAGGGAAGCCACATCACATCTGTGAGAAAGTGACTGGAGTCAGGATGCCAAGTCAGGGTCAATTGCAGATCCTTCTTTGGATTTTATCAAGAACCTCGAGATGCACCAGACTAGATATGGCAACAGTACTCATTGCACAGATGAATGGTAGATTTGTAGATATGTAGGATGGACTCTGATGAGAAAAACCTTCTGGCATGACACAGTGAGCTAACTTTCCTTGCTGCAGATGCAGCTATTGATTCAATGTAGTTGTTCTACTTCAAGTCATTTGAAAGCATAAGGCCAAGAAGGGGCAGAGAGACACTCTCCTGGAGTTTAGCATCAACCATGCTAATGGCAGACAGGAAATTATCTCTGTGGTGACTAAATGGGAACAGTTTTGTTTTGGAGGCATTAAAATTTACAAGCCATTTCCTACTACAGTTAACCACTGATTAAAGGTCCTTTTCAAGAGGAGTGACCAGGTTGACTTTGTCAGTGCTGCTGGATTTACTATTGAGACAGGAGTAAATGGTAATGTCATCTGCATAGATGCCTACTTGGGAGCTGATGACGTCAGCAAGATCATTGATGAAGATCAGAAACAGTGTAGGACCCAGGATAGAGCCTTGGGTGGGGGGGCCGTATTCATAAGGAGGGATCTGGAAGTGTACCCCTTTCACAATGACCTTCATTTCATGATTTGAAAGAAATGATTGGATTAAATCAAATAGTCATTCTGTAATACCATATCCCTGAAGTTTACGCAGAAGACTAGCATGCCAAACTCTGTTGAATGCCTTTGAGATATCTAGAACCACAGCTCAAGCTTTGCCATTCTTATCAAGAGCATGTGATATATATTTGGTTATGGCCATGAGCACGTCAACGGTAGACCAGGCAAAGCAGAATCCATATTGTTTGTCAAAGAGTAGGTCTTGAGAGGTAAGATGCGTAACCACCTCAGCATTGATTAAAGTCTTGAAGGCTTTGCCAAAAAGTAGTAGGAGACTGACAGGGCAGTAGTTAGAAGGATTAGATGATTTAAAAACAGAGTCTACAGACGAGGACTTCCAGCAAATTGGAAAGCTGGAAGCATTAAGGCAGTCATTATATAGTTTGGAGAGAACTGGGGGCCAACTCAGGAGCACATTCCTTTATGACAATGGCTGGTTTTCCATCACCTCCACTTATGGGCGTCTAATTTAGAAATGATGTCTGAGACCAGTAGTGGTGTTATGCACATATCACTCAGTTCTAGGGGGAAATCAGGTATGGGTACTCCAGACAAGTTGAGTGTTGAGTTGGATGAGAATTTCTGAGCAAAGCATTCAGCCTTATCTGCTGTGGATCTCAGGACTTCAAATTGGTTGAATAGAGGAGGGATTGAGGATTTGCAGTCGTTTAGCACACTCTTGCAGAGCTGCCAATAATCTCTGGAACCAAACTTGCTAGATGCTATATGCAGATTCATACACACTTGCATTCGTTCTGAGCAGAGACAAAGAGATGTCTATTGCAATCAGACTTATTGCCCTGGTACAGTTGGAAGAAGTGACTCCTGTGTGCTATAGCAGCCAAGCAAGCAGAAGAGAACCAGGGAGATAAACATGTTTAACTTGGTATTTCCTAGCTGCAATGAAGGCATCAATGCTGGCTTTCACCCAGAAGGAGACCTCAGCTGTGCATTTCTGAATGGGGTGATTAAAAACTACATTCCAAGAGATGTCTTGAGGAAATCATGGAACGAGTCCCAATCTACTCGTTGATAGCAGAAAGATATTTTATTGGTTGGAGGGTCATGGTAGAGGGAGGAGTAGAAGGAGATGTTTACAGATACTAAAGTGTGATCAGAATTGCCAAGAGGGCAGAGCTGCATAGTACAGCAAGAGTCTGGGATAGAGGTAAAACAGAAATTGAAGGGAGGCATTTCCATCAGGGTTACTGGGGAACTGTGTGGGAAAATCAACCACTTGCGTGAGAGATTGAGTGATTGAGGAGTTAAAGGTTTGGATGCCAGCAAAGTCAATGGTAGTGTTTAATCTACCTGGTATGGTGGGTGTTAAAGTCTCCAAACAAGAATATATTTGCAAATGGGTGTAGGGAGAAGGCCTTGTCTATATTATTGGAAATACTATCTAACATGCAGCAGTCTTGAGAGGAAGGGGAATGGTAGGGAAAGAAAAGATAGGTTAGTTAAGTAGAGAGAGAGATAGAGACACAAGTATGAGTGCTGAAATTAGAATATCTTTTTATCAATGGTTCATTTCTTTCCTGTATATTTTATTTTATGACACTTTCCACCTACTTGCTCCAACTTATACTCTTAAAACATCTGGTATATATCCTAGATCATCATATCGCACAAATTGTAAGAATACATAAAAAAATGTTTGCTTTTTATAATTTAGTTAGATACCCACCTCCATTTTTGTTGCATTTTAATTTTCTTCAGGTTTGATTCTCTACAAAAAGACAAAGAAATTGGGACCCCATCTTCAGAGCTTCATCAGGAAAGAAGAAATGGTGGGCACAAAAAAGAAGTAGCTTTGTTGAAAGAAGTCATTAAGAAATTGGAGAATGATTTGATGAAAGAGAAATCTATACATCAACGACATCAGCGTAAAAAGGCTCAGGAATTACGTGAACTGCAACTTGAGGTCATACTTTTTATTCTTTGTCTTTGCATGCAGAAAATTCCTAAATATTTTCTGTTTTTTTTTCTTATGGCATAAAAGAAAAAAATCTCATTTAAAATGATTATGTAATTTTCACCATTCAATATCTTACTTTTTATTTGCATTTGTAGTTTTTAAAATCAGTTATGATGGTCAGTCAAAAAAGTATTGATTGTTCAGATTTAATAGTAGATGTGCACAAAGCTTACCAAATCACCTCATCATAATTTGAGAAATTGTCTTGCAGCTATGACTGGGTTCTCCTGCTTATGTGGCATGGTGCAGAATCCTGTTGCTATACATAGGCTCTTCCAGCAGCCACCCTCTTGACCCAGGGAAGCACTCTCTCCTTAAGGCACTTGATGTAAGCGTTCATCTGAGACCCTGTGAAAAGATTAATAGAGGCATAACATTGCCATCACTAGTGATCTCTTCAAATACCATAATGTTGACTGGATATATCATCCAACTCTTTCCATGTCCCCTGCACTGTCCTAAACACTCTAAAATGTTTGTATCGGAGCTCCCGGCACGATTGCCAAGCAGTACAGCATGCTGTTTCCAAATTTCTGGTGGAGTGATTTGCATCAGAGTGCTCTTTTTCTCACAGACAGTACCCAACTATACTTTGCAGTCGACAAAATCAAAAACAATGTGCAAGTGCAAAATTAAAAATATAAAATGACAACAATTTACCCATCTCACTATATATATTTTTTTTTTCTCTTCATAATTTGTGTTCCCCGTTAACAGTTCTGATGAGAGGGGACGAAACCGGTCGACTGGTGTGTGTTTTTGTTTTTATTTTAAATCTATCATGGCCTATAATATAAAATTTCTTGCTTTTTATGCCATTATATATATATATATATATATATATATATATATATATATATATATATATATATATGTGTGTGTGTAATGTATATATATAGAGAGAAAGAAACAGAGGTTTATGTCCATATCATATTGAAACACAAGTTCTTGTAAGATCACTGAAGTTAAGTAATGTCAAGCCTGGTCAGTACCTAGATGGGTGATCACTTGAGAATACCAAAATGCTGTAAGCTTGGATGTGCTGATTGTGTAATAGATAACAGCTCTGAATTGGAAATCGAAGTGCCAAGTTCGAATTCCAGTCAGGTTCTTTATATTCACTTGAGCACAAATACCTTGACTCCAACTACTCTCCTTGCAGCTGTGGGTATGGCATTTAACTGACTGATTATAGCCCTTGTTACCAATAGATATAGCATATTACCAATAGATTCCTTGAGTTGGGACTTTAGTTGACAATGGCCAAGAACATACTAATTTTTGGCTTTTCAGATAGAGAACTCCTGTGTAAAATTATTAGATTTTCATATTTTCAGTATCTACTGTTCTGTTATTAACATGGGTTACATTGTCATTTGTTGGTGGTAGAAATGGGACACTATGAACACCTATGTAGAGGAAGAAGGTGAGGTTATATTTTGATCTCATGTGTTTTTCTTTTGTGGTTAGTGGATCTTTTTTAAGTCTGGTCTTGTAAGTGGCACCCACTTTAACCCAAGGAAAACAGAAGAGTAGAGGAGTGGATCAAGGCTTTTGGAAACTAAGCGACAACAAAACCAGAAATAGGGTGTACCAATTGCTGGTCTATATTAGCAATCATGTTTGGGATTGGGGAGACAGTTCTAATCAGCACTTGGTGGGAGACAGATTTGTCTGTTATATGGTTCTAATGCTACCAGATGCTATTGTCAACCACGTATCAGGATGTGGCATATATAGACAAGGAGTTGGTCAGGGCAAGAGCCGATTTATGAGATCGGCATAGCATAAGCTTTTCCAAATGTCAACTACCTATCCATGTAGGCAAAGCCCTTGTGCACATGCAGCAGGCCTTTCCTAGTTTTTGGTGGTCTCTGATGTGTACAAAAATGTAAACACTAGACAGGGAAATCATTGCCCCATTGGCGGAAAGCGTTGTTGATGGCTGCCTTTATAGTTATTCAATAAAAGCAATGTGGTCTGTTATGTTTCTTTAAGTTCTTATTTATTTCTTTTGTTAACAGGTGAAAGAGTTACGATCTTCAGAACGCCAGTTGAAAATTAGAATCAAAACATTAACAAATGAATTGGCTGTGTATAAACGGTAAGCACTTTTCATAAATCATATTGATTCAAAATTTTGAACATTCCTTAAAATAACCAAACAAAAGTTTCTTGAAAATCTCTTTTGTCTAAACAAGGGTTGACTCTCTGCAATATTTCTTCCGACCTACAGGTGACAAGGAATATATTATTATTTTGAAATAATGACTTTTATAATATACTAGCAGTAGAGCCTGGCATTGCCTGGGGATGTAACAGTAAGAGATAGATCAAGTATCGACCATCATAAAGACTGAAAAATAAAATTGACAAAGATTATTGTTTAAGGTTGACGGACACGCATGTCTTAATTAGTTTTTTTTTTTTTTTTTTTTTTTTTCTACGAATTGGTCAAACCCAAACTCATACAAAAACATTGATTTCAATCGTTATGAGTCTGCTGATTGAATAGAATTTCATTATAAACAATTGTCTTGTAAATGGAATTTTTAAAGCATTCTGAATGTAAAAATAAAGAAAAAAGTGTGCAAGACAATAAGAAACACTACTTGCCAAAAAAAAAGTGAAGTTTTGTTGAAATCCGTTGAAAAATGTAGGAAATCCGATCCCACATATAAATGAACACACACACACGCACACAAACAACCTGGGTTTTATAATAAGTATAACTCGATATGAGTTGTCCCCCTTTCTCACGACAGCGATGCCTCTTATTGTGTTTTCAAATTGATTTTGTGTAAAAACAATTGTGTTTTTCCAATTTTTGGTGCTGTCAGAACCACCGCAATGTAATTTTACGTAGTCCTGTGAAGTTTTGTTGAAATCGGTTGAAAAATGTAGGAAATGCGATCTAATATATAAACGAACAGACACACACACACTCACACAACCTGGGTTTTATAATAAGTATGATTTTGTCTTTAATTCTATTATCTATATTTTTTATAATGTCTTTGTTTAAGCATGACTAAGGACCTACATAGTTGGACTGGTACTTCCAACATTTGCCACAACATGTGAGAAAACATGTTAAATCAGACTCAACAGATCAAAATTTCCAATCAATTTAGATAATAAAAAGCACAAATTTTGATCCACAATTTGACAGAACTGATATTAAAATTAAAAAAAAAACATGTAAGTGGCATACCCACTCATATCCAAGGATGTCAGTCTATTAGGGTGGAGAGCTAATCCCCATGGCAGACGCCTGCTCAGGCACATTTGTGTTTGTTCAACAACCACAGAGTGAGCCTACCTGTGGTTTATACTGCAACTCTGCAGAGCAGACCTTTGTTACAGTTTCTGGGAGAGAATGCGTTATCTAGAGTGATCAACACTGTGAACAAGGCTAGCACACTCAAACCTTCAGTCACGATGACTTGTGACTTTATGTTAGCACAACCACTGACGGCTTCCAAGGGTCCTGTCTACCCAATTTCACTCACAAGACTTGGGTCAACCCGTGGTATGGTTTTCAGGCAATTTCCAAAGGTGCTACACATTGGAATCGTCTCCTCCATACTGATAACATCAAGAATTCACCTTCCTGACAAATTGACCCTGGTGAGATTTGAACCCAGGTCTCAGGGTCAAAAAGTGAATGTTCTAACCACTCAGCTACATGCCCATATTCAAATTAAATTCATATAAAATTCAGTCAGGACTTTTACACTCATTATATTCTACTGAAAAGCACATGGTTACATTTTTCTGAAGAAAACGGTACAAACCTATTTATGAGAGTGTTGTGGGAAGTTAGGAAGAATTGACCATTTGTAGATGTCTGTTTATGGCTGCGTCAATAACATGACCATACAATTTATATTTAACATAAAATATCACGAAATATGGAATACAAGAAGGAACATAAAGGTTTTATAACAAACAACATTATATTTATTTTTGTCTAAATGATGTACATGCATAGAGTTTACTATTGTTTGGTGTTATGTCCCTTTGACTGTGAAATATTTTTATCTGAACTCAAAAGTTGAAAGAATTATAAAGCTGAGAATGCTGAATACACTTTAGGTTTTATTATTTCAAAGAGAAAAGTTCTTGTTGCTTATTTGAAATGTTCTGTATGTTTGTAATGTAGTTTGGAAAATTTTGTATGTACGTGCATGTGTGAAAATGCTTTTAATGTCTGACTGCCCATGGTCGAGACAAGAATTCTTAAGATCACATCTTCGCAGGAATAGGGAACAGAAAAGAGAGAATGAGCAAGCTCGTGTCTGCTATTTATAATTAATTTAATCACATGACAGGGTCGCAGCGACTTGGCAGGAAACTTGACTTGGTCAAGTGCTGGAAAAATATTTGTATATGGATGGATTGCAACGCCCATTTGTGTGTATTGACCAATTAGAAGTTGACAATTGCTGAAAATCTGTATGAAGCTGAATAAAATTCAACATTGATAAGAACGTGGTAGTGGGATGCTAAAAGTGTTTATCTGTTGTGATTCAAATTAGAGGCTGGTAAACGAGGTTGTAAATGAAGTGTTCCTGGAAGCAGTTTCATGCTATTTTATTCATAAGTGATTATGAACCCCCAACCCCCTTTGATTAGATATTTTTGGAGCTAGTATGACATGTAAAATGTGTATCTTAGTATTTCCTGTAATGATTGTTATGTAAATGTGATACACTGTCACATAAAGGCAAGATACACTTCCCGTGCAATGTTTATGGTGTTACCACTCCCTTTGGGAATCATTCAGTCACGCTTAGGCGATCATGTGTCTTTCGATGCATGACTAATGAGACAGATTTTTCCTGCAGTAGGTTGCCATTACTTTCTGCAGTAGACTAGTTGCCATTCAAGGCTATAGAACCCAGCCTGTCCTGCTATTTTCCCATAACTGGTGGGAGAAGAGGATTTATGCCTTTCCCAAGGGTATTAGCACATAAGTAAATGTAATGGATCTGACTGGAATTTAAATTTGACTCTCCAATTTCTCAGTCCAAGCCGCTATCCATTACTCTGCCATGCCTCCCTTGGGAATCACTGCTGTAGCTAAAAGAGAGAAAAAAAATGTGCAAATGAATTGATGCAAATTAAAACTCATCTCTTCTTTGGAAGGTTGATAGTCTTAATACCTCTCCTTTTATTGTTCTTGCTCCTTAATAATAAGTTTTTCTTTTTCTTATGTTCTTTACACCAGTGGTTCCTGACCTTTTTTTTTTTTTTTGTTGCCACCCACTTGCATACCAAAACACAACTGTAATGCCCCACTCCAGTGTATAGTAAAATTTTGATTGTATATTTTTGGTGCTAGTATTGCATGTCAAACCAATCTCTTCATATTTCCTATGACAATTGTAATATTAATGGGATACACTGTAAAATGAGGGCAGGATACACTGCAGTTACAGTGGTTGTGTGTGATGTATGTTTATGGTTCAGATGTGTAACTGTCAACCTCTGGCTGCCCTACACTTTCTCACTATCCATCCCCGGATCTTTCTATCATCCCAAAGAATCACTTATTTACATTAAAGATAAACTTGTTTTTTACAATTAATGTTAAGTTCAAGTAATTATATTATTTTTAAAAACAGTTCTTGTCAACTCATGAGGTCTTTATTATTTTTTTTTTCATACTGAAGCTCGCCCTATACAAGGCTCAAGAGCCACTCAAGGTAGAGGGTTACTGTTATAACCTAGGGAAGGTTACTAAATAGAATAATCACAAGAATGTTGGTAATGAACAATAATACTTAGGACAAGAACAACACATATAAGATTTGCCAGTGGCGCACAGAAGTAGTAGTCAACTGCTAGAAGTGAGTCAAGTGAATTCCACAATGAATCTCCAACTGCTGGATATCTACCAACTGCCCTACACGATCAGATGTGGCACAAGGCCGAATTTAATGTGGGGTATACAAGAACGTATGCTTCGCCAAAAATTCCCGTAGATCCTGTATAAAACAGGGTCAGGTAGCTGTTTCTCTACCCTTTGACATATCTGGGGATCCTCTCTGCCCAGAGGCAGAGAGTTTGACCAGCACAGCTGGAGACAAATCTTCAACTGCAGACATTTAGTATTTACTACTATATTTATGGGAATGGGGACATACCCATTATCGTATGTAGGTATGCTACAAAAGTTACTAAATGATTTTGTTGCACGAGCATAAGAGGAGGAGCTAAGAAGTGAAGTTTATGAGGATATGTAGGATAGATAAAGATTAACACTAGACTTGAAGAGGCTAAGATTGTAGTGATTACAATACCATCCTCTGAGGAGTCTGTTCCACAAAGTAGTTCCTGGGAAGAAGCTGTCAATGAAATTTCCTGTTGGCTTGTACTTAGCAGAAGAATGTCTGTTAATTTCTTGCATCTATACATCTTGGCTGCCAAATGCTTTGTCAGTGACTTGTGATTTTTCTCCCGCCTCAAACCATTACTGATAAGTATTCACCACAACTGAACATGAACATCTCACTAGCTATTTTGCTGTTTTTGAAATTTCCTTACCTGATCTTCTGGTCATAACAGCTTTTATCAAAATCTCTCAAATCTTGTTTTTTCAAATAACTGTGTCATTTAATATGTCAAAATGAAGTACTCAAGGATGGCTTAACTGCTTATATACCTCAAATTCTGACATGCAGTTGTTATGAGACAGTAGCTGTCATTCTTTCTTGCCACATGTTGTTAGTTATACCTTGGCTCATCATGATATATATATATATATATATATATATATATTCGAAAATTATAACATAAATAAATGCATTCAACACCATCACTTGATAAGGCACCAGAAGTGTTGAAACAAAATGGCAATTTTTGTAGTGATTTTATAACATATTTATGTTATAATTTTCGAATAAATAATTATATTTGCTCTACTCTGTATTGAGCACTCTTTTAAGAATAGTAATTTTTGATTATTGGAATTTATTCTGTATACACCAATCCTATACTTGGGCATATATATATCACAGCATTTTATTATGCCTTTATTCTAGTGACAAATCATGAAGTAATGTCTGTATCTTTATTTAAAAAAATCTACCTTCGAAATTATTTTTAAATTAATTTTCAGACAACAAATTCGGCCAGCTCGGACATGTCGTCGTGATCGTTCATCTTCTTTGGAAAGCATGGGTCGACACTCTTTACGAGACCGGTCTTCCTCTCGTGAGCGATCACTTTCACGAGAACGGACAGGACTGCACAGAGAACGTTCAAACTCTCGGGAAACGAGAGGAAAAGAAAGGATCTACTCTCGGTATGACAATTCCTTGATCAGTTCCAGACATAGCAACAATTCTTCAGGTTCAAAAAAGAACAGTTTTGTTCGAAGCCGAACTCCATCACCAAGCAGTAAGTAAATCAAATTTTTTAATGATGTCTTAACTTTCTACTTCAGACATTTAAAAACTTTCTGATGTTGTGTATGACTGTCTTTTCAAGTTGAGAATATGCCTTTGCTGTTGTGGGTATTATCTGGTTTATAGTCATCCATACTTCAGCTGTCCTTGAGATGCTCATAAAGTTTAGCAGTTTTTCATTACATACTATTAAGGAAAACATTCAGTAACAACTTGGTATAGGTTAATGGTTAGTAAGGCTAGTCTGGTTGACCATTTATACTGAGTAATGAGTTTGATCCTCACAGGGTACCCCATATAAAATTCAGCATTAAATCACCCAAGAAGGGTTGAGATGTAGAATCAAACAATCAATATTAATACCAACATGAATTTTGAAAAGACATTCATTGTCTTGATTAGTTGATTTGTTTTTTATGTTTTATCAACCCTTTGCAAGTTATTTAAAACCAGAAAATATTTTTCTTGTAGGATTTTTTTTTAGATAATAATGATTTATTGATACAAGTCTTTCTAATTAACCTATAGATGGAGGGAGAAGAGATGGATTCATATATTTCCCCAACGGTATTTGTATGTAAGTGAATATAATGAACTTGACTGGAAATGGAGCTCAGCTTTCTGATTTCCAATTCCAAGCCGTTATCCATTATATCACCTGCACATCCAAGCTTACAGCACCTGGTATTCCCAAGCGGTCACCTATCTAGGCACTGACAAGTCTAAAAGTTGCTTAACTTCAGTGATCGTACGAGAACTGGCATTTCAATGTGACGTATCTAAGCCGACATCCAATGTAAACTGATGTATTTCTCATTACATTCTGAATAAAAAGTAATTAATATTTTTTTCAAAATCCACAAAATTAATTTTCATTAATTTATTTTCATCTTACATTTTTTTTTTAATTATGAAATTTAAATTTTTCTATTGGGAAACATCAATCATGGCTTAATTGTCATTTATTATGGATGACAAAATTGATCTTAAAACATGGTTTAAGTATGCAAAAGTATTTTTTTTTTTGCTGTTTCACTAACTTCATGCAATGTTCTTTTAAAATGAAAATTAAAACTTTAAAGAATATCAATTTCTTGCAATGCTTTTAAAAGTTTTATAAAAGCAAATGTGTGTGATCATTGCTACAATTTGTAATGTTTTTGATACGAACCTAGTTTAACTGAGCAGCATATAAATTACACCATTTGATATTACTAGAATTGTTTTGCAACACAATAATGTACATTGAGATTCTCATAGTATTTAGTATTGTTGATGTTATCAGTAACATTTTTGTCGCGATTTACAAACTATGTTTCGTTCAAGTTTGCAAACCAATTGATGTAATTTCAATAAGTTTGTTTTGACAAAACCCCGAATTCATGGTTTTTACACACCCTAGTAAAAACAACTGTAATTTATACACCCTTACCTATTTGAACTTCTCCCCCAAATTTGGTTTCAATTGGTCAATGTATGGCTATTTTAGAGAGTGTGATGGATAGACAGACAGACAGACGGACTAACAGAAGTCACAGAATTTTATATATAGATATATGTATCTGGAATCCACACTCTTAGATGTGAACAAAAATATAGTGTGATATGTTTTGTGCATCCCAAAACAATGAACATGGGCTTTTATAAAGAGAGTTTGCATTTTCTGTTCTTTTTCTTTAGCATTTAATATTTTAGGTTGCTTTTTATTTGGATTTTTAAGTTGCAGATCATTATTTGATGCAATTTGTTTTTGTTTTCTTTTTCTTTAGCTAAAAATGGTCGATTTGATCCAACTGCTTATATCAGGAACAAAGAAAGAAAACAAGAAGAAATAAGGAATAGAAAGTAAGTGTCTGTAATTCTGAGATGAAACATCATTATTCCAAAGTTTCGATTAATCTTCTTATCGTCTTTGGTTTTCCTGAAGATAGCATTTCTTGTTCCAGTCTCTTGAACAAAGCTACATGTTCTTGCCTTATTTTTGGTCTAATGCTGCCAAGAAGCTCTATTCATTTGATAATTTCCCATAAATTCTTTTATTGAATTTGTATCTGGGCTATTTGCAGGTCAATCAAGAATAATTGTCTTCTCCCTAAACCATTTTTTTGTAGAGTTCACTGCGAGGTCATGCAGAAAGGTAAATTCATTGTCCTCAAAGGACATCCTGATAGATAGCAGCATTAAGGGTCTTTTTCAAGAATACAACCTCAAACCATCTTGGAGATTGAGAAAATTTTCCAGTATTTTCTTTTTTTTTTTTTTTTTTTTTTTTTTTCCATGTATTTGGCATTGTATCTCTTTTGTGAGATTTTCCATACACAGAAGCCACAATCACCAAAGGAATTACAGAATTGATCAACCAATCAATGGAATGTTTTAAAGGGTGAACATGAGTTCTTCAAAAAGTGAATGATATTAAATTTTTGCAATATTGTTAAGACATCATAATAAAATGCCTGCAACTAAAATGAACTTCTTTTGCTTTGAATTTTTCATGCCATTTTTTAGGCAATGGAATCGCTGTAACAGTCTTGAACGGAAAACCAAATCATCTCCCAAAATGCGACAGTTACAGAGATCAAGTAAGTATTGCATTTAAGGGTATTTTATTTAATTAACACTATGCATAAATCCTCATTCTGTCGGTTTAATTAACTTGATACATAAAGCCCCATTCAGTTTGTTAGTAAGGCTTGTCTGTATTTCAGATTACTGATAATCCCTTTTTCCTGATTTTCATCTTACAACACAGAGAATAAGCATGGAAACTTGCTTAATCAGAAATTTAAAAATTTGGCTGTTAAGCCATAAACTTCTATTACAAATGTTACTCTTGTGGATTTTTATGTAATTGAAAGTATACAACTGCATTTAAAATATATTTAATTTAAGCCATAAAATTGTGTTCAGATTATTTAGATTTCGGCATTAAATGACCCATAGAGGTGTTGATATGCCACTAAACAAAACCAACCCACTGCAATGCCCCATTTCATGTGATGAGGATTATTTTTAATCAGCATTTCGATTTGGTCATTGGAAACAACTAGAGACTTGCCAGAATGTTCTTGGTCTCCTAGATCGAAATTTTCACTTCTGAATCAAGTGGACCACTTACAACCATTACTCTCAGTTACAGCACCATCTCTATAAATGACCCATGTTGTTTTGATGTATATTTTTCCTTTCCCAAAATAAAAGAGCATCAAATAACAAAAATGCATCTTGTTTTTTTTTTTTCTAATTTCATTTTTAATGTAAAAACATCTAAAATTCACAATTCATACACAGATCATGAAAAACACATTGACATGTCACCTTTCTGAAAATTTCAGCAATACGTAAATTGAAATCCTGTGTTCAAACACCAGCCCTTGAAAGCACTACTAACTTTTATGCCAACCCAATATTTATTACAAAATGAAAGAAATAATATTCCACCTACCACAGAAAAGATTCTTAAAATAACTGAAATTTTATTTCTAAGCTCATCAAATTTATTTAGTAATCTCCAGAATTATTGCCTCAATTGAATGTCTATACTAACAACATTTGAAAATTCACCTTTTTAAGCATAAGAAATGCGACATATAAATCCATTGTTGACTTGATTGTCTAAAGAAGCATTAGTACCTTAAAGCTGAATCGACATCTCAGAATTTTTGGTGTTTATATGCTACATTGAGTCCCTATGCCGATAATTACTTACCACCCCACAGGTCAACTGACTCTGTGGACATGAGGTGTTTTGTGACAGAGACCAGGTATGTTTCACTTTAGATCCTGTTATACTCAAAAACAACACAAAACTGATTGAGTGTAAATAAAGATTCATGTTGAGTTTTCGCTGCAAAGCAAAAGTTGTCTTTACAGCCTAATTACTAAATTTTGTTTCCTGAAGAACCTGTCATTTTCATCATCATATATTATTGAAGATGTCTCTGTCTCATTTTTTTTTTCATTGTTATTTGGACGTGCAGGTGGTGTAATGGATAACAGCTTGAATTGAGAAATCAGAGAACCAAGTTCGAATTCCAGTCAAGTTCATTACATTAGCTTATACTCAAAAACCCTTGGGAAATGTATGAAACCATTTCTTCTCCTACATAGGCTATGGGTTAAATAGTAAGACGTGTATCGGGAAAAATCATTCTTATCTCTAAAAATTGTTAGTGCAATATCCAGTTGCAAAAAAAAATTAAAAAAAGAATTATTCTTATAATCCAAAATATGTTTTGGCTTTAAATAAACCACAAAGGGTTGATAAGCCATAAAAAACAAAACAATTCAATCAATCCTTGTTATTTAATAAGATCTATTCATGTTTGATTCTCTCCTTTTTTTTCACTTTATTCCACAGTTGAAAGTTATGCAGATTCCAGTGATGGAAACCTATCAGAGGGTTCTGTTTCCTCTTTTTACAAAGTAAGGTATGTAGAAAAAAAATAAAAGGAAATTCTTATTTGATTTCTACAAACATTCCACTTGTGAATAAATAAACCCACTTATGGTATCTTGGGGATTCAAGTCATTTGACCAATGTTTGGTAACCGTAGATCTTGGGTATTAGTTTGCATTCTTTTTATATCCACTTAAGTGCCTTAAGAAATTCAGAAATCAGTAAATAAGTAACCACACCTAAGAACATGAGTATAATGAATTTTTTTTTTTTTTTCAGTATTAGCAAATATTTACATAGAAAATTCAATTTTTCTTTTGTCTGCCAGTCAATTGAAAGTTGTCAAGGCATATTTACTCGGAGCAGAAACAATCAACCTTATCTGTCTAATCTAAACAAAAAGAACAATATCAAGTTCTGTGAATCGTATATGTCTATTATGAAAAAAAAAAATGTAAAATCTCCACTTAAGATGACAATTATTTTTGCATTAATTCTTTTAACTCTGTTTTTTGTTTTGTTTTTAGGCATCCACCAAATCAGAAATTAAGAACAGAATCCAAATATACTTACACATGCAGTCCAGATGTTGTAAGTGATGCAGATTCTTTCAGTTGCATAAAGCTTTTTACGTTACAGATATCTTAAAATGTTTATTATTGTTTTTTTTTTTCTTATATGCTTTTTTCCTTTTCATTTTATAGATTTTTTTGGGGGGGGGAGAAAAGTAAAGCTTTGACTGCCTCAAGTTTCTCTCAACTTGGGCCTCAATAGGAACGTAACAAATTTCCATCTCCTCATCTGTCTCTATCCATGTCTACTACACTAACCTCAATCCATTCACACTGTCTTCCTTCATTTTCCTTGATTAAGTTGACAAAGCATCTGCCTGGACATTAATATTCATAGGAAAAGCAACCCCTCCACCTTGTTATGATTCTTTTATAACTACCACCCTTACCCACAATTCCTCACTGTCCACCAACTGTGGTTATCACCACTGATATTTAACTCCACCTTACACCTCAATATTTCAGCTCCCTCACCTCATCTCTCACTTTTCAATAAGTAAGTTTCTCTTCTTTTTTTTTTTTTTTACTTATATATTGTTTTTCTTTCTTTCTTTCTTTCTTTCCTTCTTTCTTTCTTTCCTTCTTTCTTTCTTACAAAGAATGTTATTTTGTTCAATCAAAAAATTAGTGCTTCAGTTACTAAGGTTAGCTTAGTTTGATATAAGGCCAGAGGTATTGAGCATTCAGTTAAAATTGACCTTCTTATACATAATTGTCTATAATAATTTCTTACTAACCACGATAGATTGAGCCTCACTAGTCTGGTAGTTTCACTGGTTCAGGATTTTGAATGTATTTGTAGGTAAAAACCAAGAAAGATTGGAGAAAATTCTGATATAAAGAATTATTTGCATACACTCAAGAGAACTGGAGATATTTGGGATTGGGGAAAGTTTTTTTTTTTTTTTTTTTATCTGTGAACAAATTATAATAATTCGCATTAGTAAATTCTTTGTTAGGAAACTCCTTGATTTTTAAAATCAAAAAATCAACTTATTGAATTTTAGTAAATTTTTTTTTTTTAAAATATTTAATAAAGGGCAGAAATTATTTTAAAGAAGCTCCCATTATAAATTTCAAAGAAAAAAAATTATCAGGTGATTAAATTTGTTCCCCCTACCATCTCAATAGTATATACAGCATGCAACAGAAACACCTTCCACATATACCTCCCAGAAACACCTTCTGCATATACCTCCCAGAAACACCTTCCGCATATACCTCCCAGAAACATCTTCCATGTAATAATAAGACATTAGATAGATAAAGATACAATAACCACATGCAGTCCAGATGTAAGTGATGCAGTTTTTTCAGTTGCACAAAGCTTTTTATATTACATTAAAGAAAACTTTGATTTTAAGCCTCCACTGCCTTTCAGCCATATCCAATCATGGGAAAGGCTTTGGGAGTAAACACTGAGGGCAAATCCGGAGCCAGAGACCCTAAGACAGTCCAATGTTATGTTTAACTTTGTTCTGGCATCTCCTCTGATGACGCCAGTGCCAAGCTGTATAGGCCTCTACCTTACCCTTGGACAACATTGGTGGTGTATTGACGTGCTGCATGGGCAACTGCTGATCTCTCATAAAACTCTGCTCAGGCCTGCACCCTGGAGAAGATGTTGTGCTGCCATCAGAAGTTGAAGCATGACTCTTTGGGTGCAAGATCGATGGTCTCTTGAGACCATCAGATACCAAAATGAAAAGCTTTTTACATTACAGATAGCTTAAACTGTTGGGAGGTATTTCTGCCGCACCATGTGTAAGTTGTATTGCTCTTTAGCCATAGTTTCAGTAATTGAGAAACTGTAATACTTTAGTTTGCTGTGTTAGTGAGGTTCAGTCTGGATTCCATGATAAAGTACTCTCTAAAAATTAATATTTATGAATTGTTTTATTACATTAACATAAAATGTTTCCATTTGACTTTTTACATGGAGAGGATTAATAAATAAAAATAATTGAAATATAAATCATACTTATACTATTTTCATTGCTTGGACAAAGTCACTGAGAATGTCATTGAACCAATCTTCAGAAACATCAACATACAGATTGACCATTCTTGGTTTAGTTCAAAATTCAAAAAAATATCACCTGAAGTAGGCTGGAGTGTACAATGGCTGAAACGTCTTGAATGTAACAATAAAGATGAGGGACAACTGTCCAAACAATGTAAATAGTTACAATACCTCACCTCAGAAATATAGACAGATAAATTATGTTTATTAAAAATCTTTTCAGATTTTAACTTGTATTCTGACTTTGTTAGAAGCAAGGGAAGTAACTCTATTTCCTTCAATTTTAGTTTACTGAAATTTTTTCCTTTGTGTTATTTATGGGAAAAAATCATTTTTTAATAATTTCTTTTTCTTTCTCTTGTAGGATAAAAACCAGTATAAAAGCTCAGCATCCAAGAATTAATATCCTTTGAAATTAATCATTTTGGAATGTGAAATGATAGGACTGAATTTTATATAGTAGATATGCTTGCCTATCATCCAATTCACACTCGTCTCTGGTATTTTAAACAGGAGTAGAGGCTTAACCCTTGCTTCCTGTTTAGGATTATATTTATAGTTCCTTCTAAAGTCTTTTCATTCTCTTTCACTCCCAATACCCCTTTGCCTCTTAGTGGCATTATCACCTTGTTTGGGGTGAATTGATTAAAAAAAAAGAAAGAATAAAATCAACATAAATTATTTTGTCAACTTTGATTAAAATATTATATTTATATTAAAATTATATCAAAATATATAACCGGTGGAGTAATGGATAGCGGCTTAGATTGAGGAATCTGAGAGCCGAGTTCAAATTCCAGTCAAATCCATTACATTCACTTATGTGCTAATACTCTTGGGAAAGGTACGAATCCTCTTCTTCCCCCCCCCCCAGCTATGGGTAAATAGCAGAACAGAGTTGGATGGCAACTGGTCTACCACAGAAAGAAATGGCAGCCTACTATGGGGGGAAAAAAATCTGCCTTGTCAGTCATGTATCATGATTGTCTAATGGCACATAATTGACTGATATTAAAATATTTAAATATATTATTTACTCTGTTTACATTTGGACTATTATCCTCATCTTTGCTGTTGTAAAGTAACCACAATGGTAATGATAGCAGTAATTCTGAATTACTTTATTCTCATACCAATGAGATACAAATACAAAAATACACTTGACCCCTGCCCACTCATCTGTTTATATAATACCAGAGGAGGTAACTTATATCCTCCAGTGTCTGCCTTTGGAAGTCCTTCATTCCATTTCTTCTACTCTACAGTACTTTATATTCTGAATGTAAATAGTGTAAATAATGATATCTCCTCATCCCAGAAATTCAGATTGAAATAATTTAAAAATATATTTATATTAAATTTACATTCTAACATATTTATTGATATGGAATGCAATCCCTTCTTTTTAAACATAAAAAGCAACATTTTTTTTGTGAATGAAGTGATCCCCATTTTGCAGTACATTTTTCAATGATTTATTTTGCATTTTTTTTTAAGTTTTAGATAAAGCATTTTCACTGACTAGATTTACTACATTTTACTACGTTTTTTTTTAATATTGATATTATAATTATTTTCAATCTTATTATGTGTTTTACTTCCTCTTCTTGTTATTCTATCCTGGATATGACGATAAACTACATCCGTGTCCTGGGTAAGACAATAAACTACATCCAACAGCAAGCCTCTGATCAGGAGGTTTTGAGCAGCGTGGGACCACCTTTTAATTGTCGATGTTCCCAGGTCCACCCTTACCTGGGGTGGTAGCACTTGTTAGGGTCCCAGCTATGGGCAAATAGTTAACCCTGAAACTGGGGTAAAAACACTATGAAAGTGTAAAAGAGGTTTTAATACCAGAAATACTTATACTTAATTATTATTTTTGCAAAATATTTTGAAAAAAAAATATTTTCAGTTAGAGCCTATTAATGTATATAAAATAGACCAAACCCGGATATAAGAGAAACCCGGATATAAGAGATTTTCTCTGGTCCCAAATTAGAGCCTGTATTAATGTATATAAAATAGACCAAACCCGGATATAAGAGAAACCCGGATATAAGAGAGATTATCTCTGGTCCCAAATTAGAGCCTGTGTTAATGTATATAAAATAGACCAAACCCGGATATAAGAGAAACCCGGATATAAGAGAGATTATCTCTGGTCCCAAATTAGAGCCTGTGTTAATGTATAAAATAGAAAACCCGGATATAAGAAAACCCGGATATAAGAGAAATTATCTCTGGTCCCAAATTAGAGCCTGTGTTAATGTATATAAAATAGATATAAGAGAAACCCGGATATAAGAGAGATTATCTCTGGTCCCAAATTAGAGCCTGTGTTAATGTATATAAAATAGACCAAACCCGGATATAAGAGAAACCCGGATATAAGAGACTTATCCGATCCCAACAACTCTCTTATATCCGGGTTTCTCTTATATCCGGGTGACACTGTACCAGCAATACATTTTTGAAAGAAAAATATTACCAGAAATAGATTTTTGACAAAACGAAATATTACCAGCAATAAAAATTTTGTCAGCATTAAATAATACATTGAGGTAAACCAAACCAAACCAAACCAAACCTTCTTGTTATTACCTTTTTTAGATGAACCATGTTCATTATTATTTTACTTCTACTGATGCTCCATTATTATTGCTTTTAATCATAGTCTTTGTTAATATACTTTTTAACAGTGAGTATGAAATTGGAAATAAAATAGCAGTTGTATGTGAAAGTCAGCCATTTATGAGAAAAGTTGTTTGAGGGTGTGACCACTCTAAATCACTTTCTTGATACAAGTAAACAAAATTGACTAAATAGTGCACAAGCGTATAATATGAAACATCTAATGTAGCTTCTGATTGAAAAACATCTTGTTTTGTATATCAATAAATATGTTAACTTAAATAAAGATACAAGCATTTAACATACAGTTATAAAGTATTGAATACTTTGTGTGTTATTAGTTAATAAACAGAGTGAACACTGAATGCTTGGTTACATGAGAATAATGATGGCTTCTCTTGAACAAGGTTTTTCTCTCAAAAGAAAGTTGTTATATTCAAGGGGAAATAACTCAACATGACTAAAGTAAGCTAACACCACAATTACATAGGGAAATGTATTATTTATTTATTTTTTTTCTAAACAACGAACTTTGCTTGAAATGCTGTTGTATTCAAAGTGTAGCAGATACAATTTATGATACCATCAAGTAAAAATTATTAAATGCTTGATAGAGATTAAATAAAATTCTTTTAGCTGTTGTTCCAGAAAACAATTGGTGAGCTGCATTTAAATTTCACTTCACATTAATGTCTTTAGGAAAGGCATGAATTCATCTCCCTTTGCCCAGCTATGAATAGAGTCGTGAAGCAGACAGCCCTCTTGCTGTGGCAGAAGGAAAATGAGAACTCCAAATTCAAAGCCTTAGAAAAGGCAACAGAAAACTACTCCACTATTTTTCCTAAAAATGAGTGATTGTGATTTACAGACATTATATAAATGGAAGTCATGGAAAGCTATGATTGCATATGGATTAAATGGATTCTTTGTTTAAATTCAGTTACCTGAAACTCTTTTAGGAATCCAGTTGTTACCATGTCTTATTTGTTATGATGTTGGTTGATTAACCAGCCTATGTTGGTTCAGTGTGTCTGTGCGTTTGTTGGTTGTTTTTTTTTTTTTTTTTTTTTTTTTAACTGTTTTCAGAATTTTCCCATTAACCACTCCCCAGTCAGTGTTTGCTAATTGCATGAATTTGAATAAGGTTGGACATTTTTGGTATTAAAGTTCTAAGTGGATCCAATCTTCAAATTCTGCAGCTATATATTCTGTTTACAATGTAAATTCTTGATAGTGATATTTATTTATTTCATCACTAATTTCCTTAACTCTCTTCAGTTCTTCCACAGATAACAAGCAAACTCACCAATACAAAGGTAAGGACTTTATTTACTTAATAGTTTCTTCTGGCACTTTTATTGCCTTTCCAATATTAATTCTTCATTGTTTTATTTGTATGCTATGCACAAAACAATTTAGACTCCTTGCTTCTCATCATCCCAGGTTATAGTTCTCCCTTTCTCCTTCACAGTTTCCCTCAATTCTGTCCACAGTATTTTAATAATAATAATAATAATTCTATAGAGAAAAAAATGAACGAGAAATGAATAAATTTTAAGAAACCACATCATATGAGCATATTTATCTTAATTTCTGTACAGGAATAAATTTACATGGCAAACTGAATCACCCTATTAACTTTTATAAAATTTTATTAAATATTTTTTCAATATACAGAGTGGTCTGAAAGTCTTGTCATCCCTACCAAAAAGTAATGAGAACAGTTGAACAAGTAATACAAAATCATGTCAGACATCCTTTATGTTCTTGCAAGAATGCACATGATCATGTGTTTATACCTTTGCAAGTAGCCTCTCTTCCAAACTGTAGGAGCTCGTGTCAGCCATCTGAAATAGAAAATTATATTATGTGAGGGTGACAATACTTTCGGACCACTCTGTACATAATGGGCAGTGCTTAATCTGTAGTAATATAAAAAAAAATATTGGAAGCTCTGCCAATATTTAATTCTTTAATACCAATCCTAAAAGTCATAAAATGACCTGAGCTGTGTGATAACAAAAAAAAAAAAACAGAACCAAAATAAAAGATAGAAATGTAAAAGAAGCAAATGAATACACCACTCCCCTTTCCCAATGTCAGAGAAAACTAACAAATATTATCCATCCTGGTAACCAAGGAATTTTTGATTTGTAGGTCACGGTTCATTTCATGTCCCTTCCTGGTTGTTGTCTTTATGCAGTAGGTTGAATATAGACAAAGAGAGAATAGACAAAGCATTTTGTGGGGAGATTTTTAGGATAAAACAGGGACAATGATAGTTTGGAGAAATCTGACTTATTCTATCAATATATTGTTTTTTGTAACTGTCATTTTTTGTTCTGAATCCTCACAAGCAGATTAAGAAAAAAAGTTTCAAATAAAAACTTATTTATTATAAAACTGTTTTCTTTTCTTGACCCCCAAGTGTGTGCACAATGAAATTTTTGATATTCTACATTTTCTACTCAGGTTATTTTATATTTCAGATCAGTTCTTGTCTCCATTTTCAAAATGTGTGGGGGTGTCATTTATATATTAGTAGAAGTAGTTTTGCCCAACACTGCCAATTGTTACAAAACAAAAATGTCAATCTGAAAACTCATGTTCTTAAATAACCTCACCAGACCAGATCGAGACTTTCATATGGATGTCATGCAGAGTGCCAAACCCGTTCAGAAATATCTAGATTGTCAGATGTATACAAACAATTTCTAAGATCAATGGTGAAAAAAGTCTTTGAGCAAGTGAAGTTTGAGGGCCTTGGCAAAGATCATCCTTCTTTGAACATTGTGAACTGGCACTACAGAATCTGTACCAAATAACAGCAAACCACATCACTTGAGGACTTTCAACAGCAACAACAACTGAAATGGATAGCACATGTATCTTGAAGAGAAAATAATGACGTAGTCAAGATGTTGACATTCCACACTACTTAAAATAAAAAGTTAGGAAGGAAACCTCTATCAATACTGGAAAGAGCTATAACAGTTAAAGGACTTGAGGAATCGGCTTTCCTGAAAATTTTACTTTAAGAGAAAGATTTTATAAATTTCAACCGACAACAGTACTGTGTTTGCTTGGTCAATGAAGGCCAAATATTTCCTCATAATCAAACGGCTATTATTACCATTACCATATAACCAAGAAATTAAGAATGTACCTCAACATTTAATATTTAAATCCTTCAAGTACCGAAAGAACAAAATCTGTGTAAAAGAAAACCTTGGGTTATTTTAAAAAAATGTTAATAATTAAATGACCAATTAAAATGGCTAGCACATTTAACTTAAAGAGAAAACAATAACATAATCAAGATGTTGACGTTCCACAGTACTTCAAATAAAAGGTTAGGAAGGAAACCTCCATCAATACTGAAGAGAGCAAAAACAGCTACTGGAATTGAGAAACCTATTTTTCTTAAAAATTGTTTTAAGAGAAAGATGCCAAATGTTTCCTTATAGGAAAATGGCTATTATTCCCATTACTGTACATTCATCATAAAATGGACAATTACGTTTCCAAAATCCCAAATTGAACTCTTCTTCTATAATCAAAACAAATAGCTTGTAGAAAATTTTTGTGTATAATCATGATCTCGGCTGCCTCATTGATAGAAATTCAGAGTCTGAAATTCCACCAGTTATGAGAAAACCTCCTCTCACTTCTTGGAAAAACATAATTTTGAGAAGAATTTTAAATTGTTGCTAATTTGTCAAAATTTATAATTAGTTAATCATTGTTATGTGTTTATTTAAATTTTCTTGTTCAGACATTTACATAAATTTATGAATAAAAAAAATTATTTCCATATTTATTTCTTTATAAAATGGTAAATAATATATATTGCATTGTATTTGGTTCACATATTTTTATAATCTTGTAAATATAAAATTATTGTTTTATGTAAACACTTGGATAAATAAATGTTTAATATTTTATTTTATTATCAATTCTCAAGAACAAAAAGAAAATGTATAGATCCCATTTCATATGTTACGGTTTTATTAAAATTTTAAAAATAGCTTTTTAAATCTAAGAATTGCTGAGGAGGTATAAATAGCTGTGTTAAGAGAAAAACCATCCTTTAGACATATTGTTATTTTAGAGATATGTTTGTTAAATTTTACCCTGAAAAGTTTGGTGACTAATGCTTTAGAGAATTTATGTTGGAATCATTATTAGATGTATTTCCATTTTGGCAAGAATATCAATCATCTTGGTTTCTATACTCACAGTTCTTCAGCCGTTTTACCCTCTGGCCTTCTTCAGATGTCTGTTGTCATATTAAATAAGCTTCTCAGAATTTTGAGCAGAACACTTTATTCTCTCCACAAGAGTAGATTGTTCACATTCAATTTTCCATGACTAAGAAGAAAAAGAGACACATAGCTTATTGGATTAAAAAGGTTCATGAAAACACATCTAGTTTCCTGGCAGTTGTGCGAGTCCTTGGGCCATGAAGTGCTGAAAAGTCATATACTCTGGTTCAGTGGAAGAAACATACAAGGTCTGTCTGAAAAGTAATAACACTGGTGTCATAAACAACTTATTTCAATTCCAAACAACAACCTACAGGGTTTCTCCTTCAAAGTAATGGCCCTCAAGTCTGATGCACTTTTCCATCTTTCTCAGCCACACTTCTATGCACTGTTGGAAGGATTCTTTTTGTGTGTGTAGCCCCCCACACACACACACACCACCACCACCATCTCCACTGTTATGGTCCTCTTGATGGACTCTATGCCTTCAAAACCAGTCCCCTTGATGATCCCCTTGAACTTGGGGTAAAGAATAAAATAACAAAGAGCAAGATCAGGTGAATAGGGAGGTTGTATATACGATATGGTCCTTGTACTGAAAAGTTTGAGACACCCTGGTATAAATAATAAGGAATAATGTTGGGTTGAGTGTTAGCTGATACCTATATACCTTATAGGTATCACCTTGGTTGAGGGGGATTTTTACCCATGTCTCTCCTTAAAAACTTTGTCACTCTAAGTCTTAATTTTTCATTGCCTTCCACAGGGGAAAACAATGGGATGCACATGCTGGAGCAGTCACTGGAAATTGCAGAAATCGATGCCAAACTGGAACGCCTACAAAAACAGTTATTGAAAAGCAGTTTATCTTGATGCATTTCGGTAAAAACAGAGCCAGACATTGACAGAATGTTTCATAGTTAGGCACACCCATCATCTAGATTACTAGGTCTCTTGTGAAATATATAAAATATTTTTAACTTCTTTGCAGAAGTAGTTTTGATTCTAAATAACATTGTTCAAAATGTTATCAACTGACGACCGCTTTTGTCTTGTTTACTTTAGTCTTATTTACTTTAGTCTATTTGGCGAGGACCAATATATTGCAACTGCTTACTATGATTTTAATCTCGTTTAAATTTCTTTTTCCTTTAAGTGTTGATCTTTCCAGACTCTTGATTTGGATTTTCCTTTCTAATCAACTGGTATACATGTACATATCTGGAGCTATCATGTCTTCTTTATATACCAAAACAATGCTATTGATAAATATATTGATCTGGAGATATATTAAAAGAAATAATAGCAAAACTAAATATATAAATGCATACATATGGTTACATTCATATAAATATTAAATATAGAAAGGGTGCTGAAAAAAAATCTTGTACTAACCCATTTTCCAAAACCAATATTCTATTTGATTATTGACTCACTTTCCACAATTAGTATATCGTGCCAATAATTTGTCATCACTCCCACGTGTGTGTGTGTGTGTGTGTGTCTCTCTCTCTCTCTCTCTCTCTCTCTCTATATATATATATATATATATATATATATATATATATATATATATATATATATATATATATATATGGGACAATAATGATAGTCTGCATGAAAAATTTCAAAGCAACCACTAACACGTATACGGGATGTGGAAGCGGAAATTGCATCGCAGCTCGTGACGTCAGACATGATCACGCGAGAGTGAAAATGAGAAGTATTAAATATGGGAAGCCGTTGGTATAAACCAATGGCTTATGTTATATCAATTATAGACATTTAAGAATGTTTGTGGAGATATCATAGTTTATTTTGTTCAGGTTAGGTTTCAACTGTTTTATGTACATAGCTTCAAGAATTTTTAGTTTTTGTTTATTGTTTTCATGCAACAAAAACAGACTATCATTATTGTTCCGTGTATTGGTTGATATATTGAAAAGTAATTGTCATCTTTGATAATGGCTTATGTAAACCGAAAGCTTAGATTGATTTAAACATGTATCAATATGGTGATTTCCTTTCGTCCTTCAATGATAATGTTATTAAATTTATCAGACAATATGAAAGGAACTTACTTAAAATAAATAGGCAAAACTTGTCTATATCATTTAATGAAACATGCATCAAAATATATATAAAACAAAGTCAATGTAAAATATATAAACAGAACTAATATCGGAAATATAAAATAAACAATACTGAAATATTGCTGCCTTCCCACAACTTAGTTTTATATGGACTCCCAGTTTGTTATGTGGCTGTGTCACAATCTTCAGGTGGTTCAAGGGACAAAATACTCAATTGTACATAGAATTGAGTATCTTGTCTCTTGAACCACCTGAAGATTATAACATAGTTGTATAACAAACTAGGAGTCCACATTAAGCTTTAAGTCACAGAAAGGCAGCAATATTTGATTGTAATTTTTTTTATATTTACTAATATCTATCTATATATGTATTCTCAGCATCTCTCTTTCATTTATGCACATGTGTAGTCTCATGAGTGTAAACATAAACTTAGTCTGATGAAGTCCTAAAGGACAAAACGTGTCACAGAAAAAACATTTTCCACTTTATCATACTTCTTTCCCTTAAAATTTATATAGATGCATACACACATATATATATATATATATATATATATATATATATATATATATATATATATATATATATATATACACACTTCTAATAAAGGTCCAGATTAAAAACTGTTGTAATCTATATATATATATAAAACAGAGGATGTCTGTGTGTGGGATACCTTTTCACTCAAGATCCATTCAACTGATTTTGACCAAACTTGGCACATACATCGTACAATGTAAGAGATAGGTTCTTAACATAAAAAATTGATAATTTTTAAAAAATTCAATAATCGATAAAGCCAATCAAAAATTGATATATTCAGATTTTTTCCTCCGATTTCATTCAAACTTAGTATGTAGGTTACTTTTTAGCAAAAAACAAAAAATTGATTTCAAAACAAATTGATTTCAACATAATTTTTAAACTAAAAACTCCCTCAGTTTTCAAGCAGCCTAATATAAACTTTACTCAATTGTAGCCAACAATAAGTTGACTGTTTATCAGTTATTTAGCTTGATAATTGAGTTCACCCATATAGTGAAAACCTGCAGAAATAGTGAAAAATTTTTTACTTATTTTTTGTTGATCTTTCCACCAATTTTTATCACACTTAACAATTGCTTTATAAATGTATCCTCTTTTACATCCCTGGTAGCACACTGACAAATAAAATTTCAAAAATTCCAAAATAATTGTGATCTGAAGTGGGTCTTCATGTTGCCTGTTTTAACCCTTCATGTCCTCGGCAAACTTCAATTGAATAAATACAGACTACTTCTGTTATATCAGTAACTGCATTAATTCAAAATGTTTTTTAATGAATGTACTTTAAAGTAATTGAAGAAGATAGACTCTGTTACATCTAAACATGATGCTGTTTTTGCTCCATTTTAATTGAACGCTTTTTTCTGATCAGCCAACTGGGTATGGCTGCTAGTAATTAATATTTATAATGTACTCTTAACAATAAGTTATAAATATTAATATTTAAATCTTTACAATAGCCAGTTTTCAATCTGTACTTAACAATTGCCTCATGTTTGAAACTTGGAATTGTACAGGACAATGAGAAACAAAATGTATCTTTATTATCAGTGTGTGTGTATATATATATATCTATATATATATATATAGATGCATGTTTCATTAAATAATATAGACAAGTTTTGTCTATTTTAAGTAAGTTCCTTTCATATTGTCTGATAAGCTTAATAACATTATCATTGAAGGACGAAAGGAAATCACCATATTAATACATATTTAAATCCACCCTAAGCTTTCGGCTTACATAAGCCATTATCAAAGATGACAATTACTCTTCAATATATCAACCAATGCACGGCCAAAACAATAATGATAGTCTGTAAATATATATATATAAAACAACAACAGTGTACATAAAAAGAAGATATATTTTGGCTTTAAAATTATTAAATGTGTTCTTGTAATAAGATAAAATCAAACTGTTCTTATATTTCTTCATGTTGTTATATTAAGAAAATGTTTTACATTAAAATGTTGTCATAAGCTAGAATGGAAAAGAATCATTCTCTTTTTAACTGGTTTCCTATCAATTTCATTTCTTTTTCTACACTGGAGTTCCTATGTTCCCTTACATTCAATTATTCTTGTCATTCTTTGGTCAGCCAGATTTCTGATTTCCTATTTGGTAGGAAAGGAAAAGCAATTTCTTTCTCCCTTCAACATTATCAAAGTCCTTTTTTTTTTTAAAAAAACTTTCCATTGAGGTCACCAAAGTGTTTACTTGTTCCTCTACTTTATAATCTTGTGATGACAGGTGGCTGTATTTAATTGTTCACATTCATGTATGTTTCCTGACTTTTCACATCTGAATAGAATGGTTTTGAGACAAACCAAAACAAAACAATATATATATATATATATATATATATATATATATATATATATATATATATATATATATATATATATATATATGTGTTAATTATGAATGAAAAAGCATTGTAGCATTCAGAGTGGCATCCATAGGAGTGTCTGTTCCATAAAGTAGCAGTTGATTGGGAAAAAAATTGTCTGAGTGGAATTTTCTCCTTACATTTGGAACATGGAGGAAATTAGGCTGATTTTGACTTTGTGGATCTAGAAGATCTGAACTGATAGAACAAAAGAATGGAGCTCATCTGAACATTGACCATGGAAACAGTGATAAAGTAGAAACAGGTTTGTGGGAAAGAGGTTGCGGTGTGGAAAATATGTCCTGCTCCACAAGACCGCGCAAGCTATTTTGAATTCTATCAAAACTGGAAAGTGAAGATTGAGCAACTCCAACCCAGATATCGCAGCGATGCTACATTCTTGGCCTAATCTGACTCTTGTAAAGGTTAAAGCATGGTAGGAAGCGTAAGGTACTTTCTGGAGCAATAGAATGGGCTGACCATTTTTTCCAACATTTTAGCAATATATATATATATATATATATATATATATATATATATATATATATATATATATATATCTATAAGATATTTTTGTAGGTACAAAATTTAATGATCAAAATAAAAGTATAAAATTTAATATTACAAGACATATTAAAACAATATTAAATAATAAAAAAAACACAACAACAAGGCGGGGGGAAGCAACCAGTTTCGCTCCCACTCTTCAGGCTTCCATGGGAGATTCAAAATTAAAACAGAGAAATGTACAATAAGAATAGGTGGAAAAAAAAAATATATAGTATGTATGTATGTATGTACGTGTGTGTGAGTTCCACTTAAGGAATGAAGTGAACTTGAGATTCACCAGACATTTAAATCATGGAGCATCATTGAGAATACAATCATTCATTGTGACTGGAGAAAAGTCGGTCTGAATGGCAATGGCATAGCTAGAGTGTGTGTCACCCGAGGAAGCCCTTGTGTTTGCCCCCCCCCATACATATTGCACAGTGAGTCACTCTTAATATTATAAAACTAGTTTGTGTACCATTTATAATTTTATTTTCACATACTCAAATATCTTCTTCTTTTATGTACCGTGTCCCTTCAGGACATAGGCGATCATGGCTCTCCACTCTATCCCTTGTAGTTCTCAATATATTTTGTCCTTTTTCTATTTCTCCCAGACCCTGTTTTGCCATCCACTTGCTTAAACCTGCTAGTTATGTCATGTATTGCTTTCCTTTGTCTCTCTTTCTGCCCTGTCAATATCAGATTCTCCAAGGCCTCATTTCTCATTATGTGTCCCAGAAATTTCAGCTGCTTCTTCCTGATGTTAAGTATAAGCTTCCTACTT